GCTGCTGGCCGCTTACGCTGGCTGCTGGCTACACACTGTAGCCCATGGCAACCCACTGCAGCAGGGGCTGCAGCCTATGCCGTCGCCAACAACTCACGGCAGCCCAGCTCCAGGTCGAGCTGTTGTTTAGCATCTTAGCTGTAGAGGGAACAGCGTCACTGGCCTTCATATGTGGGATCCGAACCGGGGCCCTCTGGCGTCCCAAGCCAGCTCTTAACCATCGCGCCACTCGGCCGGCCCCTGTTTGCACATTTTTAAATGCAGCTGTCTGTTGTTGTGGGGGTGTGGGAGTCCTCACTATGTTCTAGGTACCAGCCCTTATCAGGCATATGATGTGCGCGTATTGTCTCCTGTTCCACAGGTGGCCCTTTCACTCTGTGGATTGTGTCCTGATGCACAGGAGTTGTACATTTTAATGCAGTCCCATTTATCTGTTATCAGTTTTTGTATTTTTACTTGTGTTGCCTGTGCTTTTGGTGTCATATCCAAGAAATCATTACTAAGCCTTCCATCATGAAGCTCTTTCTGTTTTCTTCTCAGCTTGTAGTTTCTGGTCCTCCCCCAGCTCCCCGCTCCCATCTGCCATATTCCTTGGGGTGTGGGAGGTGGGGACACACTGCCATCCAGCTTCTCCCAGGTGGCAGCTGTGCCCAGCCAGGGGCCTACACTTATTTTCTGTATTTCATAAATTCTGTCTTCCTCATGTGTCACAGTCAGAGGTTCTTACTGTTTCTGTGTTCATTTTCATTACGGGTTTTGACTCAGTGGCCAGCTGACAATTCATGTACGCCATGTCTCCTTGTTTCTTTTCATGAGATGACTAAAGCTGGAATCATCAAAATGAAGGAACTAACACTTCTGTGTCCCCGCCCCCCAGGGTCATCAGAGAGCTGTCAGCGAAGGCGTTGCATAACCTGGTCCAGCTGGCGCCCGCGTACAGCGCCACTCACGGTAGGTGCGCTTGGGTGTCCTGCGGGCCCGGACACGCACACGCCGTGCACCACACATGCACACCATAGACACTTGCGCGCACATGTGCCCCGGAGCTACGGAGTCAAGGCCGGGGAGCTGAAAGCAAGTGAAACAATTCGTAATGTAACGGATTAAACACCGAGCTGTTTCTGGGCGGCTCACGGCCTGGGATCTGCCTGCCGTCTCGTATTTGCTGACCTCCCCGGCCGGCAGAGCTTGGCACCATCAGTCCCACTGCAGACGCCGCGGCCAAGTCTGAGTTGTGCAGGCTGCACTGCCTGCGAGGAAAGAACCGCGCCTGACGGCCGGCCTGGGCTCCTTGAACTGTGCGCACACCTGACCTCAGTGTAGGGAGCGCTACCCGTGTCCCCGGGCTGCTTGTTCCCGCGGACATTGTTAGTGACAGTGGTGGCCCAGTCATGCGGGCGTCCCTGGCTTTCCATGTGCTTGGTTCACCACACTTCAGCTCCAGGGCTCCTGGGCTTCTGTCTGTTAATTAACCCTGATGTCAGGAGGCTCGCTAGACGCTCCCTCACCTTTACTCTGTCGTTCTTGCTGCCTGAGTGGACGCTTAGCACCGTCGCTTTTTCCCAGTTCAAGAGCGATAGTGGCCCCAGGATAAGGAGCTTCCTGATACTTCAGCACTGACTGCGGCCAGCGGCCATGTTTGCAAGCCTGTGCAGGAGCCGCCCAGCTTGGACGCTGCCTGCTGTTACAGCCTCTGCATGGCTGCACGTGTGCATTTGGGGAAACTGAGGCTGAGAGGGGCCATGGTGTCCCCAGGCCAGTGTGGCCATGGCTACTCATGTGCACTGTCCACCTGGCTGCAAGGATTCTGTGACTCTGCTCTCTGTCCCCAGAGAACAGAAGCCTTAGAGGCTTCCTTTGCTCGTACCTGTGTGTGACAGGGTCCTGCAGCTCGGTCCCCAGGCATAGCCCCTGCCGGCCACTTAACCACAGGAAAGACCTGGAAATGCCCTTTGCCCTCACTTCTGTGGGGCCAAAGAGTGTGGCCTGTGGCGACGTCAGCTTACGTCCTGGGTGCTGCAATAATGACCCAGACAGGTGACTTTCAATGAGTGCACTTCTCCCTTGGATTCTGAACCTGTGAGCTGACACAGTTCCACGCACACTGAGCTGACGTGTTCTTCTGCCGTCCTTCGCAGTTTTCCCACAGCTGCTGGCGATGACGCGGAGCCCGGACCTGCACACACGGCACGGGGCCGTGCTGGCCTGTGCAGAGGTCGCCCACAGCCTGCGAGGCCTGGCGGTGCGGGAATGCAGGTAGGGGACGCCCGCCGTGGGCGAGCTGGCCCCGGCACGTTTGTGCTTGTTCATCTGTGCGGGGGCATCTTCAGGGGCCCACACTTCATCTGGCGAAGCGGGTCAGTGGTCCTTTCCTGTGAGGAGTCATGGCCTTTGATGTACCAGCCGCCTGTCCCTCGGGGAGCCAGGCGGGGGCCACTGGCGGCCACACGTGTGAAGTACAGGCACACCGTGGGTGTACCGCAGGGATCGTGTCCGGGTCGCCACAGTGAGTGAGCCACACGTGTGTTTTGGTTCCCAGTGCAGAGGACAGATCCACTCACCGTCCTGCAGGCCGCTGCGCGTGCAGTAGCGTGTGTCTGAAGGAACAGTGCGTACCTTTGTGTAAAACCACTTCAGTGCTAAAACATCTCCCCACCATCCGAGCTTCAGCGAGTCCTCGTGTGTTTGTTGGGGTTGCGGGGGGGGGGGTTGTCCTGGATGCTGATGGACGGCAGTGGTTGGGCAGTGGCTGTAGCTGTATCTTGACGTCATCTCGCTCTGAGGTAGAGTTAGATAATAGAGGCAAAAGCATGCTTTCGGAGGTTGTATCGCGTAGCTCACATTGAGTATTCTTCAGTCATTTGCCATTTTGATCATTAAAAATACCAGAGAATGCAGATTTGCAGGTTTCCACTAAGAACTTTGCAGCTGGAGAAGCTTGTATGTGAAACAGGAAAGTGTGATACAGGGTGCCCGAAAGTGCAGTCAGAGCTCACAGCACACAGTGGCATCTGTGACCTGCTTCTCAGCGTCCAGTCTAAGAAAAATGGTCTTGGGTTGCATAGCGTCAGTGGGCGAGTCCCTCTTGGCACCTATGGGTTGGGGGCAGGTCGAGGCCAAGCCCGAGACCAGGCGGGCCAGTACCCTCTGCCAGTGCGACCGCACCGGGCACCCCTAAGCCTGGCATCGGTGTGACACGGTGGAGTTGTCGTCTACCAGCGAAAGTCTGAGAAGCGCCCAGGTTTCCACTGGGGCTGGTCATGTAGGCACCCTCCCTGCACCTCCCAAGTCCCAGGTTCTGGCAGGAGCCACGTGGCTCGTACGGTTGGGCACAGTTGCCCTTATCCCACCAGGGAGCGGTAGGGACCCTCCCAAAATCCAAGTCTTGGCCTCCGGTTGAGAGCCAGCCTTGCAAGCAGGCCTGAGGTCGGCAGGGAAGTCCCCTCATCAGCTCCTGTGGGGTCATAGGCCCTCCCCTCAGCCGGTCCTGTAACTTTCAGAGCAACCGGTCACACCAGCAGCTGTGTGCCCACTGCTCCCCCATCCCAGGATCACTGCAGGACTGCCACACGGCTCGGGCATCCCCGGTCTGGTCCTTACGACCACCCGCTGGGTGGGTGCTGCTTTCCAGGGACACCCCTGCAGGCAAGCGCAGAGCAGGCACGACACAGCCGGGCCTGTGGAGCCGGGGGCCCGCGGTCTCATGCTATGCTTGGCTTGTACAGGCCCGTCGCAGACTTCCTGGACGAGACGGCCATGCAGGGGCTGAAGCAGATCCATCAGCAGGTCAGTGTGGGTCCTGACCCGAGCCCTGCCCACCCTCCTGGCCCTGGGTGAAGGCTGGGTCTCATGCCCAGGAAGCTCCCTGCTGAGGCTCAGCCCTGGGGCAGTGGGCTCCATCCACTGGGCAGCGCTTGCTGCCCCCCTGCGTCCCCCTAGGGCTTACGTGGGGCAGGAAGCAAGAGCACCTCTCCTGTGGTGGGTGTCCACGAGGCCCGGCTGCAGGCCTGACCTGGGCCGCTGCACTCAGCCGCTCGGGCCGCCCTCCTGGGCCGCCTGACGCCCCACAGGGAGCACAGCGGCTCGGACTCGGCCTGTTCTTGGGGACCGTGGGTGGCCGGGCAGTGGCCCCGGAACCAGCCCAGAGGCTTTGATTCCCAGCTGGGCTGCACGTGGGAATCGTGAGTCTGAAATTCCACCAGAACTTGCGTGTGCTGTGCTGCAGGGAGAAGGTGGTGTGTTTTCCTGGTTTTTCAGATCTCAGTCTCCTATGATTCAAAGGAGGTGCAGTATGAATGATGGGCCCTGGTGTTACAGGATGGCAGAACAGTCACTGATGAGGAAGTGACCGCTTCCATGTTCCCTGAGATTCACCCCTTTATATGCCGTTCTATCGCAGACCCTTATCAGTCTGTGTACTGACTTGATGATTTTGGCAAAGCCGTCAGTCTGTTTACCCACATCTGTCACTTTAAAGTGGAGCCTGGTGTATTCGCCATGAGCGTGGCATGGTGAGAGCGAGTGGCTCCGGGGCGTGCGCCAGGCCCGGCCTCCCTTTCCTGGCAGGTGTGGGTGATGGCAGCAGCACTTTCTGAGTTTTTGTGAGAATTGAAGGGCGTGTCTGGAGAGCTCTGGCCTCCCGGCCGTGGGAATAGGCGTGAACCTCAGAGCTGCTGTGACCTCAGGTGCCAGGCACTTCCAAGCTGTTGGAAGGAAACGCACCCTCACCCGGTGGGCGTGACAGGTCCTCCGCCTGGGAGGCCGCCTAGGGGACAGTTACGTCCCAGTCGGTCCTGGACCCTTCCCCGGGCGGCGACCCTCGTCCTCTTGGTGCCTTGGTTTCCCTTCCAAGTGAGGCTGTCGTGCGGATTAAGTGAGATCACACGTGTAGGGGACTGAGTGAGGTGCTCGCGGAGGGTGACGTGAGTTCTGTCCTTGGGACTGCCCAGTCAGCTCCCAGAGGCCGGCCGACCTCCGAAATGTCCACTGGGCTGTTTTCTCATTGTTAGTATTACAGTCTATTGTGTTATTTTAAAAACCCGAATACTTTAAATAGCTAACTTTCAATTCTTTATTTTTAGCTTTACGATCATCATTTGTACAGGTAAGCGTTACAAACTTGAATTTCTTACGTTGTGTGTCTTCCTGAAAACATGCACTGTCGTAAGAGCTCATCGGTGACACTCAGCGGCTGAGTTGGGAGGCTCACCCTTCCGTCCGGCTCTGTGGTCCAGCGTGTGGAGGGCCAGCCCCGTCGGTCTTCTCCGGCTACTGAGGCTCACCTGGTGTGTGAAAAGCCTGCTGGTTCACGTGTGGAGACCAGTGGGCTCTGGTGACCGATGGGCAGAGGGCCATGTGGCTGTAGCCACGACTGGGCAGCTGGTGGGGCCCTGACCCTCCCGCACTCTGTTCTCGTCCCTGTGGCACGGCGCTGCCTTTTCTGAATTTCACGCAGATGGTCACTCAGGTCTTTCGGGCCTGGCTTCTGTTACTTGGTGTGATGTGTTGTCGCGTGTCCAGCGGTGTGCTGTCGTGCGTGTCCTGTGTGTTCCTGTGCTCGCCAGGTGATGGACACGGGGTTGTTCGAGCTTCTGGCTCTCAGGTCTCGGTGCGGACAGGCGTTCCCATTCCTCCCGGGCGACTGCCCGGATGGCCCCACCGTACCTGCTGCTTTCAGACCCGCGAGGCCTTTCTGACAGCGCTGGGCCACCTTCCTCCCACCAGTGGCACCGGGCCCTGGGTGTGTAGAGGTGTCATCACCCTTTAACCTCCATGTCACTGGTGACTGGCGGCCTTCACGTGTCCTCTGTCTTTTTCCGTGAATTGACTGTTCAGATCCTTTGTTCATTAAAAACGCTCACGATCTGTCTTCTTACTGAGCTGCCAGCGCCCTTTTTGTATTCTGGACATGAGCTCTCTGTAGACATAGCATTTGCCAGGATTTCTTCCCCATCTGTGACTTGTCTTTGCAGTTTCTTAGTGGCCTTTTAACATGGGTCGTGCATGCCAGCCTCTCCGCCTTTGTCCTCCACATGCCTCGTGTTGGTCCCCTTCTGCCTCCGGCTTCTCTGAGAGACGAGCCTGTGCAGGGGCTCGGACCCAGGCTGCTGCCGAGGCCACTGCCCATGCTGCTCGTGTCACTGTAGGAAACGTCCAAACCTGTGGAGAATTTTTATGAGTTTGTTTGAGCCACACTGGCGACAACTGCTGGGAAGCAAAATCCCAATGGATTGAGAAAACGCTCCTGAGAACAGCAGTTTTACAGCTTATTTTTCACCTTAGAGTCGAAGGCGGAGGCTTAAGGGTTACAGGGAATCCGTGGGTGGGAGGTGAAAGGCGGGGAGGAAGCACAGGGAGGGCGTCTCTGGGGTTGGATAAAAAGTAAAACGGAGAGACTCACACTTCCTTCACATTGGTGGGTGCAAGATCGATAATAATGAACGTTTACTGCGCTGAGACATGGCCTGTGGGCACCAGATAAAAATGAGGGGTTCCTGGTCTCGTGCCCTGAGGGGTCTGGAAAAGAGAATTACTCTGACTTTTCAAAGGTCTGTTATCCTGAAGCAAAAAGACAACATCCAGGCTCACTTCAAGTAAAGACTGACCTTTGTCAAGGACGCTAGGATGTGACCACCCGTCATGGCCTGTTGTAGTGAGGACTGTCTATGTCCAGACCACCCTGTGTGGTTCCTTTGGTCTCTGGGGGTGTAGGGCCCACCATGCTGGTCTCCCCTGAGCTTGTCGTGTTCAATCTGTGGCCCCTTTCCCGCCCACACTGGGAACCGCCCTCCCTGCTGCTTCACTCACAGAGGCTGGTGTTGCCCTCTGCTGCTCTGGATCTGTCCCCAGTCGCAGCTTATACTTGATCTTAACGTCGGTGCCCATCCCCCCTCAGAACCCCTTTTCTGGACGGGTCTGTCGGCGGTGAGATTTCAGACACAGCCTTGGTTCTCACTAATGGTCAGACTCGTCAGTGGGCCACGCGCTCCGGGAAGCCCTCGACTGAATCGCCTGTGACCTAGAGTGCATGGCGGCCTTACTGCTTGTGATGGCCACGTCCCAGGTCCTGTGTGTCACTCAGCAGTGACAGGCCATCCCACAGGAGCGATGAACAGGCCACGTTTGCAGCACGGAAGTCTAATTAATCTTAAATGTGAGTGGGGCAGATGGAAGTGGCCTCTCAGTCCAGTGCGGCCAGTGCTGGATCTTGGAATGGGAATCGCGAGATGCATTTGGGACCTGCTTGTGGAGGTCCCAGGGGCGTGCTCCTGCCCTTTTGTGCGGGCTGCCTGCTGCCCCGGGAGCAGGGGCCGTACGAGGCTGTCCCATTGCCTCCTCACTGACCTCTCGTTAGGAACCATGCTCGCCTGGCATCCTGTCTCAGAAAGGCCTTCCTAGGGGAGCTTGTAGGAAGGACTGCTTTCCTCTAACCCGCAACGTGGATCGTGAAGAATTAATTATGGGCCTGGACGGAATGAAAGTAGGACAGCGAGGACCTGCGCCTTCCCCCAGCTTTGTTGGTTACCAACTTTTGGACCATTTGCCTTATTTCTGCTAGTGTGTGGCTGTTCGCATATCATTTGTTTTCTTTACGGAAAGCAAGTTGTGGGCTGGTGTTTGTTTCCTGTCTGAGTGAGGTGCAGGGGCCCCTCCTGCGTCACCCATCCCGTGACTCCTCACAGCCGCGGTGCCACCCTCTACCCCCGAAGGGTCAGTTTGGCCCCGGCTTCCTCAAGTTGGCCCTGGACGTTTTTGGAAGCCTGTACCGCTGAGCTGGGCTGACCCAGCTCGTGCACTGTGTTGATATTATTCAGTCCCTCCGTTTGCTTTCACGACATACTGGTTTTTTGTTTTGTTTTGTTTTAAGATTTTCTATTGGGGAATTGGGGGAAGGGGAACAGACAAGTTGCTATCCTTTTGTTCTTCAGTCTAGTTGTGGAGGACGTTGCTTCACTGGCCCAAGTTGGCACCATCATTGCGCTCTTTCCGGGCAAGGCAGATCAGTCACCGGCTTCTGGATGGCCGCTCACGCTGGCTGCTGGCTATACACAGTAGCCCATGGCAACCCACTGCAGCAGGGGCTGCAGCCTACGCCGTCGCCAGCGACTCACGGCAGTCCAGCTCCAGGTTGAGCTGTTGTTCAGCATCTTAGCTGTAGAGGGCAGTGTCACTGGCCCTCATATGTGGGATCCGAACCGGGGCCCTCTGGCGTCCCAAGCCAGCTCTTAACCAATGCGCCATTTGGCCGGCCCGACATTACTGTTTTTTTAAGAGTTCAGGGCAGTTGTCTTGAATACCATTCTGCATTCTGGGTTTGCTGGCTTGTTCTCTCAGGGTTAGACCTGGCCCGGCCATGGTATGGCTGACGTGGCCACTTGGGTTGCCCACAGAGGTGCAGGCTGGTGCGGTTGCCCGCTAAAGAGAACCTGATTTGATTCCTGGGTCCAGGGGCGACCCCTAGGAGGTCAGATGCACCAGTGAGAGGTGTGTGCCCTTTCAGCTAGTGAGCGACCTGGGGCCCGGGGGCTTGGAGATGTGTGAACCCCAGCTTTCTGAGCCTCCCCTCCTTGCCTTAGTCAGCTGTCATCCTGGGGCTGGCCAGAGGGTGCGTGTCTGGCTCCCTCATTCTTCCTGTATTCATTACCTGGGGTTTGTGCGGAAAGAACCACTTTCCCTTCCCAGCCACCCTGCTCTCCTTCTGACATATCCCTACAGACTCCTGGGTCTTTCCCCCCAATATATTGTAATCCATTAACGTCATTGTTTCTCTTTTTCTTGCTCAAATTGCTCATATTTGGCCCACAGGAGCCTGTTTGAAATGACTCTTCTCATTTTCACATGATTCCCTTAGCCTTTGAGCATTTCTTTGTAGCAAGATCTTAAACCTCTTCCTTTTCTTCTTTTGGTTCCCTCCCCGCTGCTGTTGTATTCAGTGCAATTCTTTTTAGACTTGTGTGTTTCATTTTCTGAAGTTGCATTTGTGTCTTTCACATACCTTAGTGTCTCTCCTCCCCGTGCTTATCCCCTGCCTTCTGGGACACACGGAGAACCGGAAGCTGCCTTAATGGCCTCGTGTGCCAACTCCGTCGTCTTGGGCGTTTCTGGGTCTGGTTGATTGACTGCTTCTCTTGCAGCTGTGCATTGTGTTTTCCTGGTAATTCTCTGTTGGACGCCAAGCTTTTGAGATTTTCGTCACTGGGGACTGGGCTGTGTCACATTCCTTCTAACAGTGCTGGCTGCAGCTTCCAGTGGCTGTTAGGTTGGTTGGGATGAACTGGATCCTTTCGAGGCCAGCGGCAGGGCTGGAACAAGCCCACCGGCGGCCAGGCCATCCTGGCCGAGGACTGTGCCGCTTTCCTCCTGGTCGGTCACCAGGCCGCACCGCTCTGGCTGGCGGGGCTCTGCCCCGCCCGGGTGGGCCTGGAAGTGTCCTGCCTTCTCCTTCTAAGCGTTTTCTTTTCTCTCAGGCTCAGGTGGTTTCTTTATTGCGTGTGCAGCTCACGATCAACCTGGCCTAAGGGGACCCTGCAGAGGCCCGGAGCTGCCTCTGTTGCCCCAGCCCCTCAAATTCCAGCTGTCACCCTCCCCCACCTCGAGCTCCTCGCCTCCCTGGACAGGCAGCTCTGTGGGGCTTCGCTGCCCGCTGAGCCCTGAGGCGTCCTGGGGCTGCTCCCTGCTCGCGTCCCCTTCCCAACCCTGGTTTCCAGTGTTGGAACCTTTGTGTCATATATTTCATCCAGTTTTCTAACTGTTTAAGGCAGGAGGACAAACCTGCATTCCCTTACTTTGTGGGGCTAGAAGCCGAAGTCTGATGAATCAACTTTCTATCTTCTCATCAAGTGTTCCTTTTTTTTTTTTTTTTAAGATTTTATTGGGGAATTGGGGAAGGGGAACAGCCAAGTTGTTGTCCTTCAATCTTAGTTGTGGAGGGCGCAGCTAGCTCAGCTCCAAGTCCAGCCGCCATCCGCCTGTAGGCAGCTCGAGGCCGCTCAGCTCAAGGTGCCATGTTCCATCCTAGTTGCAGGTGGGCGTAGCCACCATCCCATGCGGGAGTCTAACTGGCAACTTTGTTGTTAGGGGCACGTGCTCTCACTAGCTGAGCTGTCCTGCCACCTGTTGGCAGCTCCGGTGCAGCTCACTGGCCCATGTGGGAATCGAACCGGCGGCCTTGTTGCTCAGAGCTCGCGCTCTTAACCAACTGAGCCCCTCCGCCGACCTGCATCAAGTATTTCTTATTGTCAGTGTCAAACATTAACCATGTATCCAGAGCCTCAGATGCTAACCATGTGTCCAGAACAGGCCCAGCAGCCATTAAGTGTCCCTGTTTTGTTCATAGTGGAACATCTATGGACTGCTTGCTCTACATACTGATACCTTTCTAGTGTCTTAAATTCCTTTAGTTTTCTCAAAGTAAGGGTTGAATTTGTCCAAACTCTCAATCTAAGAGTTTGGAATTTGTTCTGCATGATGTAATTAATACCAGTAAGAATTATCATGTCCAGTGAAAACTGAAAATCAGAGTAAGCCGTTAGGACTTGCGATATCTGGGGGTGGTCGCGGCAGGTTTTTCCTCTTCTTCTCATACATAGTAGCCCCTACTTGGCGATAACAAGTGCAGCCGATTAACACATTAATTTTTTGAGCCTGAAGTGACATGTCACTTGATGAGGATATTTTATGTTGCTTTGTATAATAAGAGGTTTTAACCGTGAATGTTTTTATTTATTTCAGGGGTCTAGGAGGAGAGCTCATGAGGCAAGCAGGTAGGTCTGAGCCACAGAATGCCGCAAATTGCAGGTTGCAAGCTTTTATTCTCGCCTCAGAGGGAATGAAAAAAGTCCTAAGGGCGTCACTTCATTTTCTCAATACTGTTACGTTTGCTGAGCAGGTCCTTTTGCAGTGACAGGTGGCCGGGTGGCTTCCCTGTCGGAATTAGCGCTGCGGGATGCCTGGCCCGCACACGTTAACCCCTGGTCCGCCGACCCTGCCCCGCCACTCCTGTGTGTTCATGGGATGCTCTAGTTCTCAGCTCCTGTGCGTTTTGCTGTGTTTAGTAGCCGCTGGGGTGGCAGCAGCTGGGGTAGGATGGATGGGTGAGCAGAGGGACGATAAAGTTAAGGGTGTCGAATCTTGCTGCCTTAGCGTCTTCAACAACATTTAAATTAACTGTAGAGCAAAGAATAATTTTTCAGATTATATTTAAATGTTTACAGGGAACTCAAATGATACCAACATGCAAATATCTAGATTTCCTGGCGCCTTTTCAGCTGAACCTAGAAAACCCAGGACTCACCGGCTTGTCTGGTGGATGTGGGGTGGGTGCCCGGGCAGTCCTGGCCGTATGCCGAGGCTCAGGTCCAGGAACCTGTCACCCAGAAAGGAGGGCCGCTGGGGTGGAGGGTTTGTAGCCCCGATGTGACAGCCCCAGTGTGACAGACGTGCCCTCAGGGGCTGTGGCCACAGCATATGTTGCTTGGCCAGAGACAGGCACTGGCAGCGTGCTGGGAGGCTGAGCTGCAGGGTGGCCCTTACCTCCCACCCGCCCGGCCGACAGTGGCTGTGAGATCAGCCTGCACTCCTGAGCGCTCTGTGCAGCCCCGGCCTCCCCTCCAGACCCTTCAGTGCATTCCTTCTGCGATCTTCTTCCCGTGTACGCCTGCCCCACCCAGGTCGGGCCCCCAGCACTGTCCCTGTCCCCTCATCCCCTCCGAGAAGGGCCATGTCTGCCAGTGGCGACCTCGCCTGGGCAGGGGTCTCAGGTCCCTCACTGTCTCTGTAGCCCAGACCCTCTTCCTGCCATTCTCTGCGTGTCCCTTATCCTTGTCTGAGTGGAGAATGTGTAGATCCTCAGAGTGGCTGCAGTGACAGCCTCGCTGAGCTGGCAGAACACCCTGTGGTCAGACCCCAGAGCTGGTCTGCAGGCCAGGAGGCAGCTCCAGGCCGGGCTCCGACCCGCCAGCTACCCCATAGCGTCAGCACTGCTCTGATAGCGCCCATTTGTCCCCCAGTCAATTCTGTGTCCCCAGAGGACAGCCATGACATCATGCAAGTCCGGCATGTCATTGCTCTTATCAGAGGAAAAGCAGCGTGGCCAGTGGTATCCCAGGGAAGGGGACAGTCCTGGCCAGTGGGAGGGCATCGGGTGCTAGGCGGCCACCAGGCTGAAGTGTGCTGGGCTCTTGGGGTCCACAGCGGTTCGTTGGGCAGTGTGCAGGGGGCAGGAATAGCGTGGGGAAGGCCTGGGTAGGGTAGAGCGTGTCGCAGTCATCCTTGAGGAGTGAGGCACCGTGCGGGTGTGTGGGCAGGACCTCCTGGCCACGGCCGGTCACGGCGAGGCCTTGAAATGTGCTGGTGCAGTGGCCGGTCGGGGGCTGTCCCCAGGATGCTGCACATCTCTGAGTCAGACCACACAGGAGAACACCTCCCGACCTGGAAGTGGGAAGAGGTTGGGGGTCCCGGGGTCAGTTTGAAAAGCACCGTCCTCAGCAGGCCAGTCCTGGTCCCCGAGCCCATTACCTCTGCCACTGGGAACTGGCAGAAGTTAGATGCCACCGGGCTCAGAGGTACAGGAGATGGAGCAAAGGCCAGTGTGTGCACCTGTGGGGGCGTGCACGCACACACGCCTGCACAGAGGCAATAAAAAGCGTTGTGGGAACCCAGGTAAAGCCCAGCTGCACACCACCAATCAGTGAGAGAGGAAAGCAGAGTCAAGAAGGACGCCTCTGACGCCGCCTGCCGTGGAAACATCTCGGGAGCAGCAGAGGGAAAGGAGACAAGGGAGACATGGGTGGGAAGTTGGGGCGACTGAGGGGAGGCCTCGTCTGTACATCCGGTCAAGGAGCGTTGAGGCCCCGCTGTGCACGGGCTCCGGGGAGGTGCAGAGAACAGAGCCGTTGTGAAGCTCGCAAATGCAGAGCTTGAGCACTTGGTGACGGGGCGGAAGGACCTCGGACAGCAGGGAGCAGGAGAGGTTGAACCAAGTCCATTCTAAAAGCTGTGTCCCAGATTCTCAATCCCTGGTGTCCCCAGGATTTATCACAGTGGAGCAAGCCACAGGGCTCCCGAAGGCTCTTCCAAGGAGCTGAGTTACTTTTGGTCTCGGCATACGTGTGTGGAGGAGGCACAGACGCTCTATAGACGGCGCCACCCTCCGCTCGCTCCAGGAAGCCTGAGTTCAGTTCCCAGAGCCGCGCCGGGACCGGAGGGGGGTTCTGAGTGGCCCGCCTGGCGCACCTGGGACCGCAGGGCTGGCGGCTCTGGCCAGGGTCAGCGTGGTTTGGGATGTGGGCTGTCACCACCCAGGTGCAGAGCCATTCACATGGCTCCCATCCCTGCCCTCAGCGCCGCCCACTCACCAGGCCCGGGTCTGGGAGCTTGGCGCAGCAGGGTGTCCTCGGGTCGGCTCTGACTCCCCGCTCACAGTGAGCAGCGCCGGCTGCAGGGTCCTGTCACTGGCCGGGTCGGTGCGTGTCGTCGTTTGTGCCTGAGCCACTACTCCTGTGAAAGGAGGGAAGAGAGGAGGGTTCATAGCCAGCAAATGGACGTCTGCCGGCCACTTGGGTGTTTTAGGGGTTCCTTCAAGGTGACTTCTTTCCTCACGACGCTCACCTCGTGAAATTTGGGTCACGCGGTACGTCCTGCCTTAACAATCCCATCAGGTGAGCCGCTTCAGCCTTGTCATGGCTGCAGGGGCTGCATGATCGGTGCTGCCCTGTCCCCCGTCCCCAGCAAACCGTCAGGAGTCCAGAGCAGCATCTGCTCTGGACAGGAAGTGACCGGCAGAAAGAACGGTGCTTCCCGGCGTGTCTGGTTGTTGTCAGGTACTTTCCCGAGTCCTCACCAGGTGACACCCGGCCAGGAGCGCTGCGTTTGCCATGTGGGCAGGATCTGCCTTCTCTCATTTATTAGGTGCTTGTCGGTGATGCTGTTTGGAAAGAGGCAGCTGCCCTCCCCGCCCTTCCTCAGCTCCCTGTTTCACCCACCTCCGCACCAAAGAAACAGTGACAAACAAGCAGCTGGCTTTGGTCAAAGATGAAAGAAAAGCAACTGCCCTGCTGATTTGGTGTTTTCACCTCACCCCAAATTCTTGCGGGTGTGGCGGGGGTGGAGTTCTCCCTGAAGGGTAGCTCTGGTTTGCGGTCTGTGGGGGGCCCTGTGGGTTGCTTGCCAGCGCCCCTCCCCCAGGCACGCACCCTTCCTTTCCCACCCAGCTCTCCACTGCGGGAGGCTGCCTGCAAGGGGCACAGTGGGGACATCCTGGGGGCACTGCTGCCCTCAGGCCCACTGTTTCCAGCCTGCTGGGTCAGCGGAGCCCCTGCCAGCCAGTAGGAGGCGGGAGGAAAGCGAGGTCGGAGTTGATCTGGCCCCACCTGCCCCCTCCCCCGCCAAGGTCACAGCCCCTGGCTGGAGCTTTGCTGCTTTATTAGCCCTGGGAGGTTATTGTGACGCCCCTGCACCCGAGGCCCCTACTGACACCTTAACATCCACTCAGGCTTGTTTCGCGTTCTTGATTTTCTTTCAGAGGAAATTGTTTTTCTACGAGTTTATTTAAGTATAAATAGTTCAAAGAAGTGAAACGGTTCACTTCACTGTTCAGGTGTTGGTGGTCCCGGCCTTAAATCTCAGATCTCTTTTCTCCAAACCACGCCTTTCCGGTCATGAGGCTGCTTTGTCCTCTTAGCTGTGTCCGTATTTCCAGGTTACGTGCTTAGAAAATGTATCCTTAGCTTTAGATGGTTTCATTTGAATGAGACCCGATTCAGAGCTCTCACTTGATGTGTTTTTGTCTTTCAGAATTTTTATTTTTGAAGTTTTGATATTCTTGTCATAGCTTTCTGTCGTCTCTCTTACCTCTGAGGAAACGAGCAGTTTGAGGCCTGTGTGTAATAGCAGCCGCCTCCTGGAGTGCGTGCAGCTCCGCTGGCGATGGCCTGGTGTGGGCTGTGCCAGAGGCGGCCGCGGCTGGGGCTGGTTCCCGGCCCAGAGAGGCCTGCCTAGCTGTGGCCTCTGGCTGTGGCCCGGGTGCCCGCAGGCCGGAGCTGCTCCGCCAGGCCAGGGTTCCAGGGCTTCTGCGCTGGGCTCAGCCAGTGACCAGAATTTCCTAGGGAGCGACCTTCAGGCGCAGAACTCCCTGGGAAGGGCGTCCCGGTTTCCTGCCATACCCCTGGGCTCCAGGCCCTGTCCCGCAGCGAGGCTCCTGGGAGCTCTGGGCACCCTCCTAGGTTCTCCCACGTCCCCTCCAGAGACCCCAGTGCCGCTCTGGGAGAAGCAGCCCCCCCCCCCAGGTCTTCCCTTCCTTGGTGGCTCCACAGAGTTCATTTTTAATTTCGTGCAGCCTTTAGGCAATGTGCTAACTGCTGGGTAGGTCTGGATTACCTAGTCTATTACTTTTTTAACCTTTTCCATGGAAATAATTGTAAAATTGTAAAATTGGGAAGTCATGGAGTTCGTGCACAGCCCATGGCTCTTTCCCCAGTGGTGACATCTCATGTCCCAGTAGAACGTCAAAGCCACTAAGCTGACTTTGATGCTGTGCACTCACTGCAGACTCCCCAGTTTTCACGTGTGCACATGTGTGCATGCGTGCATCTGGCTGTATGCAGCCACACGAGGTGAGTTGTCAGCAGCAGCTCGGTCGACAGAGAGCTGCTCCCTCACCAGAGACCCGCCTCGTGCTGCCCGCCCGTCCCGGCAGCCCCGGGCGGCGGTCTGTCTTCATGGCTTGTCGTTTTGGGAGTGTGACATGCGGGGAGCATAGTGTTCAGCCTTGGGGGGGGGGGATAGTGCCCCTGAGAACCCTCCAATTCTCGTGTTACTTGGTTGTTCCTCTTCATCCCATCGTCTGGTTTCAGCAGTTTGTTTGACCATTCACCCTTGAGGGACATCTGGGCCGGTTCCCACTTCCGCCGTTATGCATACAGCTGCCAGGGACCGGCATACAGGTTGTCGTGTGAGCCTGCCTTCCAGTTCCCCTGGCACAAGTGCCCGAGAGCCTTTGGTGAGTCACATGGTGAGTGTAGGTTTCATTTTGTAGAACCTGCCTAATGGTGACCAGCGTTGTCTGCGCCGTTTGCACACATCCCACAAGACGGTGTGAGAGGCCTAGATTCTCCACGTCCCTTTCGGACTTGTGTTGTCACTTAGTTAGTTTTAGCTATTCTCACGGGCACGTAGTGACGTGTCACCGTGGGTTTACTCTGCGTTTCCCGAATGGCTACTGATGCTGAACATCCTTTCACGTGCTGTTTTTTAACATCATAAAACCCATCTACGTTCATATGCAGGTGAACAAGGCAGTTATTTTAGAAATCAGTGAGGGCTTGGATTTTCTTGGCCTTAGAATGTCTTGTACAAATATTGAAACAGGGTGGTGTTTTCTGGGTGCTACCCACATGGCCTCCAAGCTGCCAGTTGGGCCGAGCCTCGCCCGTGGTCAGGGAAGAGCCGCATAGCTTCACAGGGGACAGCGTTCCTCTGTCAAGGTGGCCACAGTCACAGCTTTGTCACCCTGGGGTGATAGGCTGACTGGACTGTGAGGAGTCACAGGCTTTCCATTTGCCACCTGATGGTGTTTCTACCAGTTAGAAATGTGTGCGGTCTCTGTCCCACACCCAGAAATGTGCGAGGGGTGATGGCAGGTGGATGGGGTGTGTGTGGCCTCCTCATCTGCAGGGACGGAAAGCGGGGAGATGAGGTTAGGCCATCAGGAGAAACAGTGAGTGACCGGTCCCCTGTTCTCAGTGGGGGCGTTGCCCTGCAGTGAGTGCGATTGGTCTCTACCGTTGGTTACTTAGATGAGAAGAGCAGGGGCCTGTTCTGCCGTGTCATTGATTCTGTTCAGACATCTGCCTCCTGCCCCTGGGACCCCTCGCGCCCGGCAGGAGCATGCTTGTGGGCGGTGAGTCAGGAGCCATGAGCAGAAGGAGTGGGCGTCACTTCTAGTCGGGAGTGTTCCGTGCTCACACAGAGCCCATAGCTTGCTTTGTCACTTTCCTCGGCCTGGCAACATTTCAGATGATGGCCACCTGACACTTGGGTCCCTGAGTGACAGCGATGAGTCCCCCCATGTATGACAGACATACAGTGTGAACAAGAGGGAAGCGTGTGTTGCTGTGAGCTCTGAGAGGAGGGCTTTCGCGCTGTGGCCTGGCTTGGTTGGAGGTCTGCGGTCAGTGACTCAGGCTCACACTCAGGTCCCCCCGCTCACTGGCGTCAAGCAGCAGTTCAGTCCCTAAATACGGGGAGGGGCACACGTAGCCATTTGGACCACGTGGCATGCTGGGGGACCAGGCTGCCGAGGTCGGGGCGGCACCGGGCAGCTCTCGCCCCATGCGGTGTGTCTCCTGATGGATCCCACAGACGGCCGGGGCTTCACCTGGGGGCTGCCGGACGGACACTGAGGTGCTGCTGCATTGGGGCCAACCTTCTCATGGTCCTCCGTGTGGCGGTCCGGTCTGGATGAGCTGCTGGTCACCTGGGGCCACAGTCCTGCCCAGGGGAGTGACAGTGGTTTAAAGACCGACCCTGGGTTGCTCAGGGACCAGGAGTTTCTCTCCTGCTGAGGATAATAAGCGTCACCTTCTCTGTCTGGTGACAGCGTACACTGGGTGACCCCGGGCCATGCGCACCTGTGACAGGAGCTCCCTCCATTTTTGGAGACCTCTTCCCACCCACGTGAGCTTGTGTCTTGGTGCCCACGCTCGGCCACAGGCAGGCACTGTAGGTGTGAGTGGCCCTTTGCCCACGTGTCCTCCAAACTGTGGGCCATCCCCGGCGTCCAACCCGTAGCTGCCACACGGAGCTCTCGACTGGGCAGGGCTGTCTGAAGGACGCGTGGCGCTGTCACTCGGCATGGGTCCTGGCTCTGTCAGTGTCGCTGGGGCAGGCTGCCCGGGCTCTCGGTGGGCTGGGCTTGGTGCTGCAGCGGGTGCTTGGGGAGAAATGACCAGCGTTTACCCTTTTTCTTCCTAGTTTGCGTTTTAATAGAAAAGTTGTCCGTCTCCAAAATGCCCTTCAGAGGGGATGCCGTGCTCGGTAAGTGCTTTTCTTCCGTGACTCAACACGAGCGTTTTCTGCCACAACCACCTCAGATCGAAAGTAGCAATGGACCTGTTAGGGCGGATGAAGGATAATAGTGTCACAATGTTAGAAAAACTGTGACAGGAACCTGTTGTAAATGACAAGTATTCACCACACACCCCTCTATCCCCCCGCAGCCGTCCCCTTGTCCTCTGACAGTTCGAGCTCCGTCCCCAGAGCTCTGGCTGTGACTCTGCCCATCTCAGCCTCGCCAGACGGCCGGCTGGAGCCCAAGCGGCCCTGGGGGGTGCAGCACAGATGCCACGGCCACTGGGGCAGGACTGTGAGGCCGGCCCTCCTGGGGGCCCGTGGGGCACACAGCCTTTCCTCCGTGTGCACAGCCGAGGAGAGGCAGTGAGGTGGCTTGAGGTCCCCACACACGTCCTGGGCCTGGTCTGCAGCCTCAGCTCTGTGGCTTCAGGAACAGAACAGACTCAGATTCTGTTGCCAAGTGCTGGATCTAACTGCACTGGAAGCTGGGGTTTTTATTGGTGGGGATCTGGGAGGACGTCTGAGGGACGGACAGGAAAAGATTCCCGGAAGCTTGCAGATGTAGTCAAAGAACAGACATTTCCCGCCGTATGTTCTAAAATCTCAGCAGCCAAAATGAGGCTCCTTTACACCGAGAGAGCCCGCAGAGCTCGCACAATCCAGAGAATATTTAGACCCTGTCCAGGTTCCTGTCCGCGTTGCCCGTCTGCTTCGACTGCAGAGGCAGAAGCAGCTTGTTCTCGCTTTCATCTATTCTAATCGGATAAATGCACTTCTGTGTTTCTTTGACAGAGGGTTGGCAGTGGCTGATAAACGACACTCTGAGAAATCTCCATCTCATCTCAAGTCACTCCAGAGAGCAGATCAAGGTGCGGAAGCAAAGGTTTCCAGGGGCTGTGTGCGTTCAAAGTAACGTTAACATTTTCAGTGTGTGTTTCAAAGGCCTGTGCGTTACGGGCCCCTTGTATGTACTGACGGGGTAACTGGTAAATACCATGATCACTTTTGGATTTCTAGTTGGTATCATCTATGTAACTTATAGTCAGGAAGCTAATGCAGCATTGCTGGCCAGAACAGGTAAGGTTTTCATTACCGTTTCTGGCTGACTGTATCCGCCTTCTCAGCGTCTTTCCCACACGTCAATGGTAACTGTTCAGTGGGACTGTGTCTGGTCGAGCTGTGGGATTTTAGGGTTGGAAGCTGCATGTGTCATGCTTGTGCTGAGTCACCCCTGTGCATGTCACATGTCACATTGGTCATTTTGGGCAAGCAAGAGTTTAGTGTCCCAGTGGCCAAGTGCCACGCTGTCCCGTCTAGGGACAGGTGAACGTTAGGTTAGCAGCAGTGTGTCCAACCCCCTCCCCTCCAGGTCATCGCCAGGGCATAGATGTGACTCGGCTTTGAAGTGGAGGGTGGACCTGCTGGTGTCCTCTGCAGTCCCCGCCTCCTTGTGTCAGCGTCCCTTCCGGGCCGTTGATGCTCCTTCAGTTTCCTTTTTGTAAAGTGACTGTCACTCTGTGGAATATAAGGACAGCTTTACCTGTTGTGGCGGAGTGTCTCAGGAGCAAGGCCCAAGCCTTCCTTTATGAGCTGCCTCACCTTAGCAGTGATCCGTGCAGCCTGCGGCTCTGCTGAGTGAGCAACAGTTCGGTGTCGTGCTCCTGAGGTCCCACCTGCCCGGCCCCGGCAGAGGCTGCGTTGGTGGCCTTCTCCCTGACCTGCCTGTGTGACCTCGAAAGGCCTCCCTGTGCCCAGGTGCCTCTTGTGACAGTGGGTGTCAAGAAGGGGCCTGTGTGTCCCTGTCAACCCCCGCGCCGTCCTCCCTCCAGCTCATGCGGCTTGCCGGTCGGGGCCTGAGGAGCCCTTGGACCCGACTCCTCGAAACGCGGCTGGCACGCTTGCCCAGAGGTCTTGCCCTCGCTACTTCTGGGTGTATCACACACACTGTTTCCTTCATTATTTCTTCTGGGAAATAAAAAAATGCCCTTTTTGTTATGAACTATTCACATTATAAGACATGGAATTTGTATGGAAGAAACAGTCAAGTTTCTGCTTAGCTTATCATCTGCAAAGAACATTAAAGTTGTAACTGTCAGACATGATGACAAGCAGGCGGGCAGGCGAGGTGCAGCGATGTCACAGTTTCTAGTCTTCAACAACTGGCCCGACTGCAGACGGCTCAGCTGCCCTGGGGGCTGCAGGCCACTCACCTCCTGCTTTGTTTTAGGACGCGGCCATCTCAGCCCTGGCCGCCCTCTGCAGCGAGTACTACACGAAGGAGCCCGGGCAGCCAGACCCCGCTGGACAGGGTGAGTGGCCGCCGTGCTTGGCCCCAGGTACTGGGGGGCTCGGGAGGCTTGGATTTGCGCTCCTTCCTGCTGCAGTGTGGACTCGGGCCTGAGCTGGGCGGTCAGCAAGGATACGGTGGGCACTGGGGGATGCGAGGGACTCAAAGCCTCCTGGCCTGCCCATCTATCTCCCCTCCACCTGGTGGGCTCAGCTGCCCTGACGGGTCTCTCTCTGAACAAGTAGCTTCTCCAGGACTCGTCTCGGTGTTGGCTTTACCGTGTCAACTTTTCCTGGGACACGGTGACCCCATTTTAAATGTAGAGTGGCCTCGTACGTACTTTAGCAGCGTGTTCTCACATTTCGCTCTGAAGCACACTTGTCCCCGCGGTCTGCTGTGGAGGCCCCGGCTGCGCCTGCCTTCTGTGCTGACCTGTGTTTTCCCTTCTCATATTTCTGTCCGTTTTGTTCCTTTGTCCCCGTGCGTTTGTCCTTCAGCTCCTCTGCTTTCAGTGTGGTGGTGGCCTATCTCTTCAGTGGCCAGCTCAGAGCTGCCCGCGTCTGGCCGCGGCCTCATCACGTGCTCTCCTCGCAGCCTTTGTTCCCGTCAGTGACGCCCAGTGACTTTCACATTTTGTGGTAAAATGTGTCCTCGAGTTTTCACGTGCACGATGGCACCACGAGCAGAAATGTTGTGCTCCCCCCTTTACGGGGACAGAGGCCGTATTGCGGCCGCTGCATGGGGGGGTTTCCTAAAACGAGCGTCTCGGAGCCTGTGGGACACGTGGCTCTCAGGGGACTGTTTCACATTCAGAAGCTTCACATGCGCGTGTTGTGTTGCCCTGTAGCGTTCCTCCCGTTGTTTTATGGGACATGAGTGACAGTCACTTCAGAAGTCTATGAAATGCCGCTTTAAATTATCTAAGTGAATAAAAATCACACGTGCAGTAGCCCAGTCTGCCTTCTGTGATCTTGTCCAAAATACAAGAGTATTTTGTCATTTGATACTGACAGGCCTTCCAGAGTAAGTCTCACTATTCCCCTCACCACAGGCAGGTTCCTAGGGACAGCCATGCTGGTTTGTGTTTCGTCTGTTTTAAAAATGGGACAAGTCATATTTTACTGTTTGTCTAAGACAAGAGTACCAGTCACAGCAGTCTGAATACAAAAGAAGGAACATTCCGAAATCAACCCTCGAAGGCCAAGTGAGCCACAGAGAGAGAGGGCGGTGTTGCCTTGTGCTGTGACTGCCTGTACTTTGGGGGTTCACCAGAGATGTCACTTCAGTGTTTGTACGCAGGGAGTCCAGCTGTGTCTTTCTGGCCTAGTAGGCGAGGATGCAAGGGGCACGTCACACGAGTCATGCTTTGTAGAAATTTAAGCTGTAACAACATGAGTCTGGGGAAGCAGGTGGGACAAAGCGAGGGTCTGGGGCCACCCCCACGCCAGCGGCATTCTGAAGCACAGACCTGGCTCGTCCTCGTCCTGCCCGTCGTCCTCTCACAGCCTCTGTTCCAGCCAGTAACTCTTCCAGGTCCCCCAGGAGTGTCTGCTTCACCCCGCTGTGCTCTCAGCATGGCCGGGGTTGGCCTGGGGCTGCGCTTGCCCTCGTCCTGAGGGAGGACGCCATCGTCTCCACAGCAAGCCACAGTGCTGTTAGGAACAGAGAACGGGAACCACGACTCGGGGGGGCCCTCCTGAAACCCTCTTGGTTTATCTTCCTGAAAGTGAAGTCATTGCTCAGGAAAACCTCAGAGCCTTCTAACACAACGCTTTCCTTACGCCTGCTTGGGGTTAATCCACTTTGCAGATGCACCTGCTGCCGAAGCCTGAAGTGGTTCCTTTCCCCTCCCCTCCCCCCCATTCCCGCCTCTGTCCCCCAATGTCTGCTTTGCTTTTCCTGAAATGTACATAAACTGTGTGCTGTGATGTGGATGGCGTGGTTGGCTTCTCCTTCTTTTTAGAGAGCCTGGTAAAGCAGTACCTCGCCGAGCTTCGGAGCCCAGAGGAGATGACACGCTGTGGCTTCTCGCTGGCCTTGGGCGCCCTTCCAGGCTTCCTGTTGAAAGGCAAGCTCCGGCAGGTGAGGCTGACCGGAGGGGGCGAGGTTTGGGGGACATGTGTGGGACCCCACACCCGCGGGGCGCGAGGGGCGCACTGTTACCAAATCCTGAAAACCAGCCCACGCGGCCGTGAGAGGGAATGGACGATGGAAAGTGGGTTGCTTAGAGGCTGGTAGCGGCCTCGTACGAAAAGAAAGGCCCAGGAATGATGAGCTCGGGTCTGTCGGAGAGGAAGCTGCTGTTTGATGTTGAAACTGTTCCTGCCTCACCTGGAAATGCTGTCCCTCCCACGGCCACAACTGAGGGGTGCCGGGTCTGTTGCAGAGGCCTTCTCCAAATGCCCCTTCCGCCCCAGGAACCCCTCCTTGGAAGCATGACTGATCCCTGAGGGCACTGTCACGGAGCCCAGTTCCGCAGGGCTGCCTTTTCTCCCCAGCACCCAGGGTCGGGGTGTCCTTGCGTGGTCTGCGTTTCCGTGATGGCCTGAGGAAGTCCCTGCATCTCAGGGACATGGGGAGGTCCCTGCTTGCCCCTCGGGAGGACAGATGACTAGTCAGTGTCTCAAGGAGGTGGTGGCTTGGGACAAAGGGAAGATGGGGCAGAGCTCTGGCCACACAGGGCTGGTCACATAGGACTCAGAGTGACTGTGAGCTCTGTGGAGCCCACTGGTGTTGGGCTGCTTGGGGCGTGGAACTTGTCCTGCTGCCCCCGGCTGTTCCTGGGCCCCTGGCTGCCAGCAGCCTATGGTTGGGAAGGACTGGGGGTGAGTCCCTGACCCCACCTCCCTTTGGGAGCTGGCAGGCCTAGGAGGCGGGACTTGTTCCGGCCCCACTGAGAGCAAACTTGCCTCCCCCACTCTGGTGTGTGCCCCCGAGGCCAGTCCCGGGGACGCACCCGCCTTCCCGTTGTCCCTCCGGATGGGCCTCTGTGGGTTTGTTCTGAAACGTGAGCTTGAGCTCTGCGGCCTCAGCTGGTGTCCTTTCACGGTGACCCACTGCCCTCCTGCCCCCGACTTGGTGCTGAGCTCCCTGAAGAGTGGGTGCCCGTGGCCTGCTGGCTGGGTGCAGCCAGCCAGACCCTGCAGATCCCCGCCGGCCCCAGGCCACCAAACTCCTGTGCCCCCTTCACCCAACTGAGGCATCAGGCGTCGTCCTGCCGACCCACCACCATGATATCCATGCTGCCAGGTGCCTGGGGCACATGTCCCCTCATCTTTGTCACCTGCCCCCTGCCTGGCACACTTTGGGGTCTGATACACCAGATGGACTGACGTGTCCGTGCGGCCGACCGTGTAAACCTCTCACCCTGTAGTTGATCCATTTGAACACCTGGCATTTATAATTGAGCTGTCCCTTCACGAAGTAACAGATGAAGTTCCCCGGAGCCACTGCATTTGTCATATTCCAGCTCTAAGCGATGGGACAGGAAGGGGGCAGCTGGCGCTGGAGTGTAGGGTGGGCCCAGGAGGCCACACCGTGGAGGTGACCTGGGCCCCGGGGTCCCAGCAGGCGGAGGGGCTGGGGACGTCCCCTGCAGGGTGGTCTTCCTGCCTAACAGCCGCCCGTGATGTGGGGCTCGTCACGCGGGGCTCGCTGGGGCAGCCCAGCACCAGGGACACGCCCCACGTGCGTGAACAGGGCACTGGCCTCATGGCTGACAGTGCGCTGACGATTGACGTTGCGTTTCAGGTTCTGGCCGGATTAAGAGCCGTTGCCCACGTCTCCCCCGAGGACGTGAGCTTTGCCGAGTCCAGGCGGGATGCCCTGAAGGCCATCGCTAGGTGAGTCCTGCCGGGCGGCCCCCGGGTCACTGCCCTCAGAGCCAGCGCCCCAGCCGGACGCGGTGTTTTCGTTAGAAGCCCAGTCTCACGGACACATCTGCCAGGAGGGAAACATTATTGTATATTTTTTTTCTAGAAGTTTTGTTTTTAGGGGATGGTTGGCATTTTTAAATCACAGTAGCTAGTTAACAGCTTTGTCGTAATTATAACAAACATTAAACCGACTGTGATCACATCTTCACTTTCGGAAACTGGACATCAGGGCTTGGCAACAAAGAGTAGGTGGCGGGACGCGTGCTGGGGGACCGATCGCCAGTTGTGGTCACAAACACGCACACGTCGGACACACCCCCCTTTCTCTCTCCCACAAACACGTCAGAGGAGCAGCTGAGTGGCACCCACGTGCCCTCTTGTGCACTAAGGTCATACTGTCCCCTTTCTGCAAGGAGGGAACAGCCACCAAGGGCCTCGCTGTGCACCTTGCAGGCTGCAGACACCAGAAAATGTGATTTAGGAGAAGACATCACTCAGCCTTACGTGCCCACGGAGGGGACGCTGGGACTTGGAACCTTCCTCTGACATCGTTTGTTCCGAGTGTTTCCTGTCAGGAAGAGCGCGTCAGGCCCGAGTGACATGAAATGCGAGAAAGGTCGGACGGGATATTGCAGACACCGTTTCCCACTTGTCATTGCAGGGTGTGCCGGACCGTCGGTGTGAGTGCAGAAGGGGCCCCGGATGAGGTCGTGTGCAGAGAGAACGTTGCCCAGATTTACTGCACGCTGCTGGATGGCCTGAGCGACTACACCACCAACAGCCGTGGGGACGTGGGTGCGTGGTAAGTCCCGCCCTTCTCGTCCCCATAGCCTGTGTCCCTCTGTGCCTTTCTCAGCGAGTGTCAGCAGGTTAGAGGTGGCGGCCCCACGTCGAGTGTCGCTTCAGGCTGGTCAGGCTCCCGCCCGCCGTCCTCGTGTGTCCTTTAGTCTGAGGACAGCAGTGGGCTGGGTCTCCTGTGCATTCTGGTCTCTGCTGAAGAAACTCCCCTGGACCACATTGCTGTGACCCCATCCGCCTGCCCTCCAGCTTTTATTTAGTAAAGTTCTTGCAAACAGTTGGCCCCGCGGCCGTTAGAGCAAGAGGGACCCCAGCCATCCTGAGGGGGGGGCACGGGCAGAGGTGGGGGCCGCCAGGTGGGAAAGGACGGAAGTGCAGGTGGAGGAGGAAGGCTCCTGACGGCTCCCAGCGTCACTCCGCCTGGTCCCCAGGCCTCACAGCCCCTGGGGTTCAGTCAGTGCAGCGAGCTCCCGTGTCCCGGGGTTTTCTCTCAGGAGAAGCGCCTACTGGGCAAAGCACAGCATACGTGACGTGTCGCTGCCGAAGAGTAGAAATAGTTCATTTTTTCACGATCACAGGAAAAAAAAGTTAAGCTTTATGGTAAAGCTTGAAAAGAAATGAACACATTATTCCATATTTGGCCAGGTCCCGCCATTATTTCTTTAAATACGTCTTCTGCCCCCTTCGCTCGTTCTGGATGCCCAGCCTCCCACAGGCAGACCTTGTCCCACTGCCCCATGCGCCCTGAAGCTCTCTGCTGTTGTGTGAATCCCATGAATTTATGTATTTATGTTCAAGTTCATTGGCTCTTTCCTGTATCATCTCCACAATGCGATTAAGTTCGTCCAGAAAATTTTCATTTTGTACTTTCCGTTAACAGCGTCTTCACTTGGGCGCCGCCCTGTTCTGTGTGTTGTCTTCCTTCTCCCCCCTCACCTCACTGCTGCTTCCCTTCCCTGCTCATGCTCGGGTGGCGTCTGGAGCACTGCCTGCTGGGCCTGGTGACCTGGCACACGTCTGGGCAGACCCGAGCAGGGTCCTGTCTCTCAGGAACCCCCACGTCCCCCCGGCCCTGAGTCCTCAGTAAGACCAAGGCTCCCAGGACGGCGCGGCCTGCAACGCCGTCTCCTGTGGGACGGGTCTGTGCCAGCGCCAGCAGCCTGACCGCAGCCAGGGCTCACGGGTCTGCCCTGCAGAGCAGCCACTGTGCTGAGTCTGTGTGGCCCAGGTTTGGGAGGGTTCTGCTGGGACGACTGGTCTGCTTTCCTCCAGGGCCACTGATGGCTTTCTTGTAGGCAGCTGCTCACATTCGGCTCAGCGGGCCTGGGCTGGCACAGACGTAGGGGTCCCTTCTCGGGCACACCCCTCCAAGGGACCCCTTCACTCTTGGTGGCCCTGGTCATCCCAGACTCCCCCTCACAGCTCGAGACAGAGGCCGGTGGGTTTGCACCGTGTCTCAGCCCTGCTGAGGCTGCCTCCGAGCGACAAACAGAACGGAGGAGGCACCGGGGGCCGCCACCAGCCCCAGGGGCTCAGGCGTGTGCGTGGTGGCCGTGCCCCTGCGGTCCCGCCTGCGAGTTTGTCATTTCAGAGACTAGTCAGCTTCCACAGTGCTTGGTCCTTTTCAGAGATTCTCTGTAGGAAGTGTCCGTCTTTTGCATTATTTTTCCTTCACCACGTCCTTCATGCTTACTCTGTTATCTGTGTCACCCGAGGGTCTATTTCTGTTGTCGTCGCTCTTATTGTAACACTTGGTCTTTTTTATTCCCATTCCTTTTAATTTGTAACTAAACCTAGGAGCTGTGTGTTCACACTTGGAGAGGCTTTCTTTGCAGTGTGCTAGCTTTCCTGACGCCAGGTCCTGTTTGTGGGCAGGTCGCTGAGTGCCCTCAGAGCTGGGTCGCCCCTTCTCCTGTCCAAACCTCGGACCCCAGGTTCTTCCTCGTGCACAAGTGTCCCCCAGTTGCTGGCTTCCTGGATCCTGGAGCCTTAGCCTGTGTGACCAGCGTACAGCTATAGGGGGCCCCATACCCCCTCCCTCTCCCAGCCTTCCCCTGAGTGCCGTGCCCACAGAGACGGGGTCCATGGGGAGCATTGTCCTCTGTCCTCCCACGCTCTGCCTGCCACCCCAGACGGTCGTGTGTCCTCAGAGCAGCTGCTTGGTGGCCCTGCCCTGGTGTTGGAGCCCGTCCCGCTCCCATCAGCCCCTGGGCTGTGTCCACTTCGTGCGTACACTCAGCGTGTCACCCGCCAGGCCTCCCACGGGCCGAGGCCTGCATCTGCGCCTAGCCTCTCAGACCCCAGCACACAGGCCGCCTCTTCGGCGTGGGGCGTCCATTTCTTGGCAGAGAGTGGGTGCCCCGGGCCTGGGGGACCTGCTAGCCCTGGAGACGTGGGGCTGTGGTGCCCATCCGTCCCACCCAGGTTGTGTGCGTGATGTCCCGAGTTTGGAATGCTGCTGTCACCCGAGTGAGGCCAGTTGTAGTGTGGGCTCCACTTTTCAGATCGTGTGAGGCAGTTTCCTTCCACGTGAGCTGCTGTGGGTGAGTTGGCTCAGAGTGGACAGAGCAGCCCTGGTTGTGCAAGGCACTTGTGCGGCAGCGACGCCAGCAGCTCTGCATGTGTCCACCTCGCGGAAGCCAAAGCCTGAGAAAACCCTGCAGTGGCTTCATTGGAAGGCTCATGGGAAAACCAGAGGCCTCTGCCTGCACTCGTGACAGTTTGCTGGGACCTGGCCGTGTGTCCTCGGGTGTTAGCCTGTGTCCTTGTTGGAAGCACCGTGAGAAAACACCACTGGGGGAGTGACCACCAGCTGCCCATGCGGCTCCGCAGACGCTTCCCACCCAAGTGCGGACGTCAGTCTCCGGAACGCGCCCTGGGCTGAGGGCGTTGGAGCTGCCCTTCCCATGTGCAGCTGACTGTCACCTCTCCCTGGAAAAGTCCCCTCTTCCTGGAAAGCAGTCTCCTTATGCACTCCCTGTTCCTGTAGGGTCCGCAAAGCTGCCATGACCAGTCTGATGGACCTGACGCTTCTGCTGGGGAGGGACCAGCCTGAGCTGATCGAGGCCTCCGTGTGAGCGTCTGCCCTGCCCCCACCCCATGTGGAGAGGGTCTTCCCTCTCCCTGTGTCCGGCCCATGGCCCAGCCAGGCGTTCCCCTCGCTCGGGAATCATTTGGGGTGAGGCCAGGGCACCTCAGCACCTGCTCCCGCAGGGGTCCTGGCCATCGGGCTTGTCAGTCCTGGCGAGGCCCCAGCTGTGCTGTCCCTGTGGACAGCCCACCCTCCCACCACCCCATGCTCCCCTTCCTTCTCTACCCCCGCCAGCTCATGCCTGTTCCCCACTGGCTGCCCACCCAGAGTCCTATGTGCTCTCACTGCTTCTACCCGGCCCTGTGCTTAGGTTCTGGGGCCAGGCCCGCCCTGTAGCCCGTGGCCGCATGTGCCCCGTGGGCGCTCCATGTGTGGCTGCGCTCACGCCAGGCTCTGGGTTTGCAGCTGTGAGCGGGTCATGTGCTGCCTGGCCCAGCAGGCCAGTGAGAAGATCGACCGGTTCCGTGCGCACGCCGCCCACGTGTTCTTGACGCTGCTGCACGCTGCCGGCCCCGCCGGCCCCATCATCCCCCACGTGCCCCACCGGGAAGAACTGGAAAAGCTCTTTCCCAGGTACGGAGGGCTCGGCGCCCCCGACTCCCGGCGGGACGGCAGGCCCCTCCAGCTTGTTGTTCTCCTGCAGGTCAGACGTGGCGTCCGTGAACTGGAACGCGTCGTCCCAGGCCTTCCCACGCATCACCCAGCTCTTGGGGCTGCCTGCCTACCGCTACCACGTGCTACTGGGGCTGGCTGTGTCCGTGGGCGGCCTGACAGAGTCCACGGTGAGGAAGCACTGCAGGCCTTTTCTGGAGGACAGCGGTTTTATGTGGGCACGTGCCCTGTGGCGGGGTCAGCACCGAGGGTCCGTGGGGCACAGGTGGGATCGGGTGCTTTCTGGGGCGGGAGCGAAGGGGCCGCCTCCTTTCTTCCGCTGATCTTCTCTCCTGTGGAGAGGTGGGACCATGCACTCCCGGCAGGGTCCCCAGGGCGGCTGGGAGAGCCGCGTTACTGTGCTGCGGGGAAACGCAGGAGCCCCCGTCTGGGCGCCTGTGGGCCTGAGTTTCGGCACGTCTGCTGCAGGTCCGGCATTCCACGCAGAGTCTGTTTGCATACGTGAGCGGCTTGCAGAACGACCGGGGGGCGCTGGAGGACTTCGCCGGGACCCTCCTGCGGGTCTTTGAGGACAATCTCCTGAATGACAGGTAGGCAGTGGTAGCGCTTCTGGGCCTCCTGGGCAGGTGGGGCAGGCAGAGGCCAGGGGCGTGGGCACGGCCAGGAGCCTACCCTTTGGGCCGGTGGGATTAGGCCGGGGGTGCAACTTGGAATGACACAGGTGGCACTGCATCCAGTGCTGCCCGACCTGTGAGCACACGGCCACACCCTGGTAGGTGACTGCCAGCAAGACACACTGTGCTGTCACAGCGAAAAGTGGGACCTGGTGTTGGAATGGCACCCCAGTGTTTTGCTAACTGCTTTTCCATGGAGTGTCGACCCCACGGGCCCTGAGCTCAGAACAGGACATTTCCCAAAGCCTCCAAGAGGGCTGTTGGGGACTCCGTTGTCAGTGGTCCCTGGGCTGCCGGCCCTGTCACAGCTGTGTGGCCGCAGGACCCCACGAGGCCCGGGGGAGGTGCAGACACAGCTCTGAGCATGCAGGGACTCCGGCCGCGGTCCTTCCGCGGTGTAACCAGCCGGGGAGCTGCACTGAGCTGCTGAAATGCACGTGAAGCGTGCAAGTTTGACTCGTGTCGGCCTCCATGGAATCCCCACACTCAAGACACTGAACACACCCGTCCACACCCACGGTTCCCGGCGCCCCACCCCACCCAAGGCAGCCACTGGAGCTTTCCGTGGCTGTAGCCTAGCTGGCGCATTCCAGAATTTTATTTAAGCAACTCCCGCAGTGCACTGCCTGGGTCTGGTCCTTGGGTCCAGCACACTCACCAAGTAGCCGTTTGTGATGGTGGCTGTCATGTCGTGTCTGTCATGTCATGTCGTGAACTCGCCTGTCTGTTCACTCGCCTGTCTGTTCACTCGCCTGTGATGGGTGCTGGGCTGGTTTGGTTGAGGCCGTCGTCACAAGTGAAGCTGTGTGAATGTTCACGCATGAGTCTGTGCGGACGTCGCTCCTTTTCTCCCGGGTACATGCCCAGCGGTGGACGGGTGGGTCGGGTGGCAGAACACCTAAGTTTTCAGAACACTGTTTTCCAAAGTGGTTGTGCCATTTCTGTCCCCACGAACACCGTCTGGCAGTTCAGGCGCCCACATCCCCACCCAGCCTGCAGCACCCGCCGGCTCAGTCCTGTCACCATGGCCGCCCCGACGTGTGGCACTGTGCTGCGGCTTTAGTGTGCATTTGTGTCCTGACGTGGGCTTGCCGGCCGTTGGGGGTCGTCTGTGCTGATGTGTCTGTTCAGATCTGCTGCCTGTTGATGGTTTTGTCCCTCCCGCTGAGCGTGGGTTTTCATATGTGTGACCTTCGCTCTCCTAGACTCAGCATGTGTGTCACGTTCTGATGAGCTGCTTTGTGGTGGCTTTTCCCATCCTGTCTGGGAAATTGGCCGCGATTTCCTCACTGGCACAGAGGTTTTTTTTGTGGAAGTCTGAGTTTGGGGTCCGTGTTCAGACCTGAAGTCCACTCAGGGCGAGTCTGTGCGCTGAGCTCTGCCCCTGGCGGCTGTCCCCGCAGCCGGTCAGCGCGGAAGGGCTGGCCAGTCACCACGTGCTGGCAGCACCCGCGTCAGGGATTGGGGATTTGTTGGGCTTGTCACTCCTGAATGTCTGTGCATCTTGACACTGAGCTTTGCTGTAAGGGCTGAAGCTGAGCTGTGTCGCCCTCCTGCCCCTCCTCCCGTGGAGGCTGTGGCATTTCCATGGGAGGTTTAAATGGCCTCCCGTCCTGGCCAGGGCGCTGCCTGGCTGAGCCATCCGGGAGTCGACGTTGTGATGAGTCTGCGCTCCCCACGCGCCAGCTCTCCCCTCCCTCACGGGTGGACACTGGGTCTCACAGCAGGTCCTGTCCCCACAGGGTGTCCGTGCCGCTGCTGAGAACGCTGGACCAGATGCTGGCCAATGGCTGCTTTGACGCCTTCACCACGGATGCCGAGTGAGTCCGTTTTCTGCCGCTTCAGGGCCACTGTACGGTGCGAGCCTGGCAGCTCACCCTTCAACCCGATCTGGTCCCGGGTCAGAACCCGAGGAGATAATTTGCAGTGCGTCTGGGTTGGTCTTCACACCACCCACACCCCATGTGAGGCTGGAGCTGGGCCGTGGGCTGCGCGGGGCTCCAGCCATGGCAACTGCTGTGCAGGCGACGGGCCTGGACAGTGAGTGAGGACGGGGAGGGGGGACTCGGAGGCCCGTGGGTGTCGCTTGTGTGGGAGGAAGACCGGGGCCCCAGGTGGAGACCCTGGCTCGGACAGACAGCGCGGGGAGGCCGGCTGGCGGGAACACGGGCTCTGGGTCTGAGGCACCTGGAGGCCTGGCCTGAGCACAGGGCCCAGCTGCAGCCTGAGTCAGCGTCCTCGTCCGTGAGCTCTGGGATCCTGGGCCTTGGCGGCGGGTTATCCCGTTAGGCCACGTTTTCTTGTGGTTTTGCCTCAAGTCCGGTGGATCTCAGACCTCGTGGGCTCGACCCCGGGACTGGGTCTTTTTTCCAGTGGATGTGTTTGAGCTTCCTGCTGGGCACGTTTCAGTGACTCAGAAGCATCTTTGAAAAGTGTCCAGTGGGCCCAGAGCGGTGGTAATTCTCTCCCACTTCTGGGGTCTGCTCGCTGCCATGCGCCTTGTTTGGTGGTGGCAGTCCCTACGTCATTTTCCCAGGTGCTCTTCCCCAGCCTGGGGACAGCGTGCATGCACCCACGTGCTGACCAGGCGGGGCCCCCAGGACACCACCTCCTCTGGTACTCTGCTCTGCAAACCACAGCTGACTGCAAACTCAGCCGTGTCCCCTCTGTGTCCCCCCCTTGTCCCCTCTGTGTCCCTCCTTGTCCCCTCTGTGTCCCCCCCTTGTCCCCCCTTGTCCCCTCTGTGTCCCCGCCACATGCAGGAAGCTGCGCAGCCACAGGTTCCCTTTTGCTCCCCACGCCTCCGTGGTCCCTGTGCTGTGCAGCCCGCTCTCCTACACTGTCTTTAGTTTTTAGTTGTTTCAGGTTGGGGGGCATCTGGTCCCTGTTCCCATCTCTGCTGGGGCCCTCATGACATCAGAGGGTCCCCCTCACCCTGCTGAGAGGGCATCACCTGGCTTTCCTGTGTCTGATGCCAGAGCAGCCTCTGTGCTCGTGCTGAACCACTCTGGGCGGTGTCCTTGCTAAATACCCTTTTTAAGATCTTAACACAGTTTCTCCTGGTTTGAAAATTTCAAAATAAAATGGTAAGAGAAAGCATCTCCTGTTAATGAATATAGCTCTCTTTATTTTTCCATAGTTTTGTCAACTTTTTCTTTATATATTTCAAGGTTTTATACTTTGGTACATCCAAATTTAAGGTTAAATATTATTAGGTGACCTTTTCATTTCTGGTGACACTTTCTGCCTCCTGTTCTGCCTGGCCTTGTATTAATGTGGCCAGGTCAGCTTCTTTTGACTTTGGATATACACTTTTTTCCATTTTTTCACTTTCAGTATTTCCACGTTTTGCGTTTTTGGTATGTCTCTCATTAGCAGGACATAGCTTTGCCAAAATTCAATCTTAGCAGTGTTTGCCTTTTCACTGGGTCGTTTAATCTTACTACAAGTAACCCCGTTGGTCTTAAATCTAAGTATGTTTCCACATTCCCCTTCCTCCTTTTTTTCCCTATTTGATTAATAATTGTTATCTTTCCATTTTTCTCATGTGTTTGCTGGGGACTTTTCATTCTTTCCTGTTCTCTTCGTGGTCCCCCAGCCATGTCTCACTTGCAGAGTTTTGCGTCTTCCCTCGAGCTGTGCACCGTTGTCCCGTTTTGGTTCGTGTGTGTTTTCACTCGTTCTCTGCGGTTGGCAGGCGTTACCCACACTTTTACTTTCGCGTTCCTCATTTCCGCCAGCACCGCCCCCTTTATGGGGTCATGTTCTTGTTGCCTCAAGAGCCTCCTTCAGAATTCCCTCCAGTGAGGTCTGCTGGGGGAACCTACTTCCTGCTTTTATTGGCAGGTTATTTTCAAGGGGTGCAGAACTCAAGGCAGCTGTTTTATTTCAGGACTTAAAAGATGTCTTTCCACTTAACTTTCGATGCGTCCGTCTAGATGACTGCGCCCTTGGAAGCAGCCTGGGTGTTTTCCTGCCTCCTTTTAAGATTTTCTCCTTGGTTTTTCTGTAGTTATCACTCTGCTGTATCTAGTTGTCACTTTACGTGCACATACATCTTGTTAGGAATTTCTTACATTGAATCAGTGGCTTTGTTTCCATTTGTTCTAGAAAATTCTTACCCATCATCATTGCTTCAGGGTTTGACCGTGTTCCACCTTTCTCTCCCAGTTCTCCTGCCTTTGCTACGTCACCCTCACTTGTCTTCCTCCTGCCGAGTTATCTCTTTAGTCATTTCTAGTCACTGCTAAGTTTATTTGGAATTATTTTCCGTGTGCATTTTCTCAGCTGGAGGCTTTTATTTGGCTGTTTGCAGATCTGTGGGCTCCCTGCTCTTCCCAGCAGCCCCCTGCTGGCCGGCCCCTCCTTGCCGTCCTGTAGCGTGTGGTGTTTTCTCGTTTGTCTGCGTTCTTTTTTTTTTTTTAGGTTTTTTTTTTTATTGGGGAATTGGGGGGATGGGAACAGTGCTGGGGAATTGGGGGAAGGGGAACAGACAAGTTGCTGTTGTTTTGTTCTTCAATCTAGTTGTGGAGGACGTTGCTTCACTGGCCCAAGTTGGCACCATCATTGCGCTCTTCTCTGGCGAGGCAGATCAGTCGCCGGCTTCTGGACGGCCGCTCACTGCGGCTGCTGGCCGCTCACGCTGGCTGCTGGCCACACACGGTAGCCCATGGCAATGCACTGCCACAGGGACTGCAGCCCACGCCGTCGCCGGCGACTCATGGCAGCCCACCTCCAGGTTGAGCTGTTGTTCAGCATCTTAGCTGTAGAGGGCAGTGTCACTGGCCCTCATATGTGGGATCTGAACCGGGGCCCTCTGGCGTCCCAAGCCAGCTCTTAACCATCGCGCCACTCAGCCGGCCCTCGTTTGTCTGCGTTCTTACTGTTGGGACGTGCAGTAACCTGAGGCCAGAGAAGATGAACTGCGGCTGGCAGGACTCTGCGCCCCTCCCAGGCAGCCGGGAAGGGCCTCTGGACTGTGCAGGTGCCAGAGGTGGCCGCAGCCCACGAGAGGCTGGTGCACGCCCCGTCCCCGCTCCCCCCCCGGGGCATCCCTCCCAGTGTGTCGAGTCCACATCTTTGTCAGGACCAAGCGTGGGGTCTTGTCACTGCTGGAGGCTCAGCTTCCTCTGGAGAGTTGGCACGTCCTCCCAAACCCGGAGCACCGCTGAGTGCCAAGCCCGGCAGGCGGGCGGCAGTGCGGGCAGCGGTGTGGCTGGGGCTGTGCGGAGAGGTCTTGGGGCCCAGAGCAGGGACGGGAGCCCAGGATGGGTTTATAGCTGATGAGACCCGGCAGGTCTGTGGGCCCATCCGACGTGGGTGTGAGGGAATAAGCAGCCAAGGACGACAGGCCAGAGGGTGGAGTCTCGTCCGAGACAGGAAGCTGGACGCAGCAGGTGTGGGCCAGAGGGCCCAAGTGCAGTCTGAGCACGGTCGGAGCCAGTGCCGGCAGCCGCAGCAGACACACAGGTTGGGAGGCACGTGAACCCGGAGTTACTCCTCTGCTCTGATGGCCGGAGGTCCAGGATAGGGTGGCCGATTCGGGTTCGCAGAGGGACAGCTACCGGCTGTCGAGTGTCTCTCCTCCCCAGGGCACTCACACCCTCACCTGGGCCAGGGTTCCAGCACATGGTACTGGGGACAGAGCACAGGTGTTTGCTTTGAGATGCTTATGCATTCGTCCAGAACGGGTGGTATGTGAACCCATGAGGTCACCAGGGGAGGGTGTAGACAGGTGACGGGGAGCAGAGGGACACCAGAGCCACTAGGAAGTGGATTGAGTTGGAAGAATGTGTCACGGGGGGCCATCCGTGGTCTGTGCCAAGTGGTTACATGGGTTGAGGATAGGAATGGCCACGGCGCTCAGTGACATGATGGTCATTTGGTCCCCGACAAGCATTTCAGTGAGCTGTAGGGAGAAGCCAGAAGGAGCCAAGTTTCGGGAGGGGTGGAGGCTGCAGTCACACCCAGGGACAGATCTGAGTGACAGTGGTGACAGTGGGGGGAGGGGCTGAGGTCCACTTTATCCCACGAGGACGGCAGAGTAGCCCTGGGACCATTTTCAGTCGGGGGGAGGTAGGGTTGCCATCACTGACCCTGAAATGACAGTGGCCTGTGCGACGGCCGCTATCTGCCCTCAGGGAGGTCTGTCCTGTCCCTTCACCCAGGGGTCGAGCCAGGCGACGCTCTGCCCTCTGACCATATCCAGGGTCACTTCTACGGCCTCCAGCTAGTGGTCGGGGAGCAGGGACCATAGGGTCACTTGGGCCGACGAGCACAGCCTACATAGTGTCCAGAACTGGCCTGGAGCAGAGGCAGTGGGGCCCGTGGCCGCAAACCGCAGATGCGGAGCATGACCGTGTCTGAGCACAGAGCTGGGGGGAGCCTGCTCTCCCCTCGGCCACTCCCTGACCTGGTTACGGCGTGCTACCCCCTCCTTTGATCCTGCATGGGCCTGGCTGGCTGCCTGATGGGGGGACTGGGGTGGGCGGGGCACGGGGGGGGCACACGATGCAGGCGGTGTCTGTCCCCCACTGCGCCTGTGAAGGAACCAGTTAAGGTGACCGGGCACGGTGTCCCGAGGGACGTGGCCCTCTGGCCCCTCAGCTGCCACACCGCATGGCACGAGCTGCTCATGCTGCACCCCTGCTTCCCTTCCAGCCACCCCTTCTGTGAGAAGCTGCTCGCGCTCTGTAAGGAAGAGATCAAGAGGTCCAAGGACGTCCAGAAGCTGCGCTCCAGCGTCGCCGTGTGAGTCCCAAGTCACTGCTGAGTGTGGCGGGCAGGGCGCTCGTGTGACCCTGTGGCCGCGTAAAATCGTTTTCTGACGTTTGTTGGGAAGGATCAGTGACGCCATCGCAGGCCTGGCCTGCGGGGAGGGGCAGTGTCCACAGCAGCTGGCCAAGCGGTCTGCGCGCCTTGGTCTGCAGAGGGAGGGGCTGGGGGCCTGCACGGCCCTGGGCGTGCGCGTGCTCACAGCGCGTGCTCACAGCGCGTGCCGGCAGGTTCTGCGGGCTGGTGCAGTTCCCGGGCAGCGTGAGGAAGAAGGTCCTGCTGCAGCTGCTCCTGCTGCTGTGCCACCCGTTCCCTTTGGTGAGTGCCCCTCCCTCGGTTCCCGCGGTGATGCCAGTGCCGCTCTGGACACCGGTGCTGGGGCCCCCCCTGCATTTGGGTGGGGGTGGGGCATCCGGCTGCATGGACTCTGGGGCTCGTGGGGGCAGCAGCGGTGGTGTGACTTGGCCTTGGGGACAAGGGTGCTGCCCTCGTTCGGGTGGCAGGCGACACCCCCCCCTTCTGTCCCACACTGTTCGCCCCAGCGGGGGCCTAGGTGGGGGTCTCAGCTATGGGTGCTGGGAGGCCACCCACCCCTGGGGTGACGCGTTCAGCTGCAGGCTCCTCTGAAACGCTCTTCACATAATGCAAAGGTGACACTTTCCTGAAGAGCGGTCATCTCCCCGTTCCCATGGCAGCACCCCCAGCAGACATGCAGGTTCTCGGGCCACTGACCTGCTGATGCGGCAGCCCCAGGGATGGCCCAGGATCGGAGCACACACGCTCCGTGCAGTGTGTCACCACCAGGGACAACTAGGAGAGCAACGACCATGGCATCTCTGACAAGGGGCGGATTTCACAAGGCATTTCCCTGATTGTGTGGCCGCCTCCCCCGGGCAAGGCTGCTGCAGGCCTGGTCCTGGCACGGGAGTGTGTGCGGTAGTGGCCGGGGTCTCCTGGGTCAGGACCCACGGTCAGCTCCTCTGTCACAGTCGGCGCTGGGCACGCCCTTCAGGTTACACTCTGGGGTCCTGTTGTGTCCCCTGCCGCTCACGTGCACTTGTCCTGTCCAGATCCGCAAAACCACCGCCAGCCAGGTGTATGAGACGGTGCTCACCTATAGCGACGTCGTGGGCGCGGACGCACTGGACGAGGTCATGGCCGTGCTCGGGGGCACTGCCTGGTGAGTGCGAGGCCTCTGGCCCACAGCTTGGGCTTGGCGGCCAGCAGGGGCTGCGGAGCCTGTCGCCCCTGCCTCGGCGCTGGTCCTACGGGGAGGTGGTGGCGGCTGAGTTTTTTCACCTGTGCCTGAGTTCTGAAGGGGCTGGTAGGCCACACTCGGGGAGGGGGTGCCCCCTGGGCTGTCAGGCGGCAGCGTTTTCAAAGCGGCATTATTTTCTCCCAAATACAACTCGTCTAAGTAAAGTGATTGTGGGCCCGACCACCACTTGCTTAGAGGCAGCTTTTTATGTCTCTGCGGCTTCTGCATGAACGAGGCGTGCAGCTGGCTCTGGGCGCTGGTGGGCGCTGGGCACCCACGTCTGCTGTGCTGTGGTGGCGTCCCTCGGGAATGGCGGGTCCTCCCCCCAGCTGTGGTGTCAGCTGGGTCCCCAAGGGAGCAGAAGGGCGTCGCGTGGCTGTCACTGTGTCCACACTCACCTTGGGTGGGCCGGCCTTGGCTCAGTCTTGGTGGGAAACGCCACACATGGACATGTCATGTCCGAAAGGACGGAGGACACGGGCCACAGAGCCATCAGCTTCTTAGGGTCCCTCGAGACAAAGCTGGTCCCAAAGCCCCACTGAGGCAGCTCCTGCAGGCTCTGTTGGCTTCTTGGCACTTGGGGACAGCAGGTCTGACAGGCGTGTGTGGGCCGGTGGTGGCGCCCAGAAGCAGGAAAAGTGCAGGCTCGACGGGCACTGCCACCCAGCTTCACATGGTGGCAGATGCATAGGTGACGCTTGTCACATAAAAGGTGACCCTGCCCTCACGCCCATTTTAGAGACGGGACCGAAGCTTAGACAGGTCAGGGGTCAGCGCACTGTGCGGACGGGCGTGTCCCTCACAGAAGTGACGTTGCAGAAAGGGTGGGGCCTTCCCAGGGTCATGGCTCCCCTGCCTGGACCTGAGCCACGGTGGCCGAGGCACGGGAAGGCCTGCGTCAGGGACACATTTAATCTGGAGCAGGAGGGGGCCGTGAGCATCTCTGGCCCAGCAAAAGCCCCAGAATAACACGTCCCAGGAGACGTGGACGCCTGTGGTCGGTGAGCGGCTGGAACACTGACCTCCCCGTCCTCGGGGCCGACGTCTGAACACGTGTGGAGAGCAGCGTCTAACAACCGCGCCGATGGCTCGTTTCCTGTTAGCTGTCAGCTTTATAAAACCACTGAGGCGCCTTCTAAATCAGACCCTAAAGCATTCAGCTTGAAAAAGGACTGAAGACTGGGTGGCCCACCCCACAGTGCCTGGGAGGGTGCGTGGGGGGTCCCTGGTCCCTCCCGCCGCTCCCACCCCTTTCTGTTAACAAAAATAACTTTATTACACAAGAAAAACGCCCAGGATTTCTCTACAGTGTTGCTAAATTTAGTTTTTATTAATGAATGTAATAAAAAGCTCTTCCAAGTCAAGTAAAACTTTAAAAAGGCCCAAGTGGTAACACTGGGCCCCCTCTCCCCCCACCAGGCAGCCCATGTCCACATTCCCTGTCGCCGTCCCCTGGGTCTGGCCGGGTCCTCCCGCAGTTCCTAGAAAGGGTTCAGGAGCAAGGCCATGTGCAAACTCACGTGCGCGAGGGCCGGCTTGGGGTGGGGGGGCCGTCACCAGCGATGTCTGAGGCTTTTGCACCTGCGGGAAGTTTTCCTGAGTTTCGAGTTCCTGGCGGCTTTAGCGCCTAGCGAGTGGATCTTCCTTGGGGCTGAAGCCACCACCCTCTCCTTCCCAGGGACGCAGAGCTCCCGCTCATCAGAGGCCAGCGAAACCGCCTGTGCGACCTCCTCGGAGTGCCCAGACCTCAGCTGGTCCCCAAGGTAACCGCACGCCCCCTCAGGTCCCTCTCTGTGTGAGGCCTCCACATGTAGCGCCCGCGAGCTCGAGCCCAGGACGTCGTGGGTCCACGCCGCCTGCCCCGTTGGGCCCACACAGCTCTCGGGACCCATGGGGACACAGCACCACCAGGCTGTCGGGCAGGAGCAGAGCCGAGACTGCGTGCCTGGCCCCAGTCCAGGGGTCCCCATGCTCGGCCAGCACCCCAGGCAGCTCCTTTTTCTAAAGGGAGCTAACGAGCTGTGCAGGGCAGGCGAGGGGCTGTGTCGGCTGGTGGCCGTGTGGCCTCTCGGGCCCTCGGGAGAGTTGCCCCTGACGCAGCTCTACCTTCTCAGATGTGGCCTTCCCCCCGTGCTGGAGGCGGCCTCCTCAGGGCCTCTGCGGCTTCTGTTTCCACCACTGTCACCTCCTGGCTACTCATCCCAGCTGGGGACTGTCACCCTCAGGGTCTCCGGGTCCTGCCAGAGTCGGCCCACGGCCTTGGTGTCTGGTTGTGGCTGCAGTTTTCTGAGGCCACAGGAGCCCAAGCTGTTCTCCCAGGTTCCGTGTGCTCATGGCAGAATCAGGACCAACTCACTGTCAGCTTCTGTCTGGGCTGCCGGGACATCCCCGCTGGGACAGAGCCGTTCTGGCCAGGCTGTGACCCTGGCTCTGGGGAGGAAGGTTGCACAGAAGCCAGTGCCGACAAGCAGGCCCCACGGTGACCGCTGCTCTGGGCAGTGTGCGCGCTTCGTGTCTGCACCTGCGTGTCCCTGGGTGAGGCTGGGCGCCTCTGTGACCTTCCCTGACACGCCTGTCTCCTCTGGGTGGCCTGCCATTTACACGTCACTCGTAGGGCCTTTGCCCTGGACATGCAGGCGCCTCGTGCTGTGGGGTGGCCCCCTCATCCCGAGCCGATGTCCCCCAACCTGGCACTTCTCCCCTTGTCATCGTTTGAGGTCCCCTCCCTGCTCCAGGGTCATGTCTGTCGTCTCTCACATGTTCTGACAGCTTTGCTGCTGCCCCTTCCACACTGACACTCACAAGCTTGCGTGGCGGGGCCTCGCCTGTGGCCTGAGGGACACGCTTCCACATGCTCTTGGCCTGGCTCCATTCTAGCTCCCAGGAGCCGTCACTGCTGTTGTCTGCCAGGGCCCCCTTCCTGTCCTCCGTGGGTCTTCTGTCCGGGAGCTGGCAGCACCGTCTCCAGACCCAGGTGTAGGCGCCGAGCCCTAGAGGAACAGGTGTGGGCTTGTGACAGGTCGTGATGCTGACGGGTCTGTCCTCTAGTGGTTTCTTCAGCTGTCCTGACTCTTGTCGGCCCTGTGGGTTTCCAGGACGCCCGTACAGTCCACTTGTCAGCTTGCACGACACAGCCGCCAGCAGTCTGGCTGTGGCCGCTTGGAGCCTGTGGAGTGATGTGTGACAGCTAAGGTGTGTGGTGCCGTCGCCCGGCTGTGAACGTGACACAGTGTCCGGTGACTGGGGGACTCAGTGTCTTACGCTCCCTGGAGGGGGCAGCACACAGCTCTGTGGCCGTGTCCCACGGACCTCTTCTCTTGCTTGGTCAGTTGGGGAGGTCTTCATGGCCTGTCTGCAGGCTCATGGCTCTCTCCCTGGCCGTGTCTGCTGGAGCCGTCTTCATCTCCGTCAGTGAGTTGGGTTTCTAGCACCCCGTCATTCCTTCTTAGTCACCGTCCCGCAGCCCACACTGTCCGTCTGTCCTCGGCCCACTGGTGTTCTCGGCGTTATCAGTTGTACATGTGTGAGGGTTTGTGTCTGTCTGGAAGCTGTAGGTTCCAGAGCTCTGAATTCCTCCAGCACCCCGTTTGTGTCCCTGACTCGGGGGGGTCCCTGTGTCCTCCTGGGAGTGTCTCACAGCCAGAGCCCTGTGGGGACATGGCAGGAGGGCGGGGCTTTCTGTGACCCTCTGACCCTTGGTGGGCCTGGGTCTCACCAGTCTCGTCCCAGCTGCAGCGTTTCCAGGCTGCCCCCTGGGGGTCTGGGGGAGGGGGGCTGCAGCTGGTCTTGGCCCTGGAGCCTCTGCTGGAGACGGCCCGGCCGCCGTGACGCACGGTTACTGTGCCGGCCCCGCCAGAGCCTGCAGGGGGCTTCTCGGGGTCTTGACCCGGTGAGCCTGGTGGTTCCCAGAGGAAACCACAGGCCAGTGGGGGCCCCCAGGTCTTCTCGCCCACAGGCTGGTCCATACACAGCCGGTGGCCTCTGCCCCCGGAGGGTGGTCCTGGCAGGGAGCCTCTGGGTCTGTCCAGTTTCGGGGTCGTGACTCAGGGCCCCAAGGGGGCTGAGGAAAGTGGCCGGTACAGCTTTTCCCCGCCCGGCTCTCCTCTGCCATCTCCTGTCCTTGGAGCCTCCCACCCTGACACATCTGGACTCGGCTGTGTTGTGTGCTTGGACGGTCACGTCTGACACCTTGCTGGTGGTGACCATCTTGGAAGTATCTTCTTTAGCTCTAAGTGGACTCTGTGCCCTGACGCCTGTCATGAGCCCCCTGAAGGGAGGATCTTCCCAGCGTTTCACTTCCAGTCTCTGTTCTCGCATTTAAGCGGGTCACTGACACACAGCAGGTCCTTAGGTCTGATTCTGCAGTCCAGTGTGACGACCTTTGTTCACTGGAGCGCTTCTGTCCGCTTTCATCTCATGCCGTTACGGAAACCTTCGGGTTCCCACCTGCTGCCGCCGTTTTCTCTTTGGCCACACTGCTTGTCGCTCCTCCGTCTTTGTCTGGATTGAAGACGCTCCTTGTCAGTTCGCGGCCGTGCTGCTGACCCGTCCCTGAAGTTTTCCTGCCGCTGTGTTGGTGGTCACCCAGGAGGAGACCTCGTCGCAGTCGGAGGGCGGGGTGGGGCTTGGTGTGGGCTCAGGCACCCCTCCTTGCCCCGGGGGCCATCCTCACACTGACTGCTTGCTGCTGTCAGGTGACCCCAGCCTGTCCTCCCTCAGGCCTTGTCCCACGCCTGCCGGCTGGCCTGTCCCCTTTGCGCCCCTGCGGGTACTTCGGAGGCGATTCCCGTTTCCACACCTGCCTCCTGGTGCTGAACTGGTGCCGGCCCTTCTCTCAGGGGCCCCTCCACATGTAGGGACAGGTGCTGATCTGGTCAGCCCCCAGGTGACACAGAGGGACAGGGTGGCAGGCGGAGCAGAGTGTTGTGACCTTGTGTCATGGCCCAAGGCAGCATCAGCTCCCAGCTAAGTGTATCCACGTTTGTACCAGGAGCTTTTGCACATGGGTGGGTGAAGTCTGGGAGAACAGCGTAGGAACGGCCCCAAGCGTCTGGGGAGACGGCACCAAACAGCCCACCGAGGGCTGAGGAGATGGCCCTGACCGCCTGTCCCTGTCCTGTGTCCACAGCCTGCTGCCCGCTGAGGCCGGTCCTGGGCCTTTGTGCCGCCCAGCAGAGAGAAGTCAGCGCAGAAAAGCTGGATGCAGCTTCGGCCGGTATGTGACGTGTGCCAAGGGACTTGGAGCTTGTCACTGTCAAGGCAGCTTTTCTCACACGTCCTGCGCTCCAGTGACCTAGCGTGTCGGTGCTACTTCTGTCACTTAACCGCGAGCCCACGTCTTATAAAGTCTGTGCTGACCAGTGTGTGTGTCTGTGTCTGAAACTGTTGTGAGTGAGCGTGATGGTGGGGACAGAGCAGGGGAGTAAACTGGAGGGTCCCTCCTGCTGGCCACTGCCTTCCACATGGAGGGGGGCCCGGGTGGGGACCAGGCCTGGGACAGGCCTTGCTCGGCTTAGCCACTGTTGTGCCCTTTGAGACACTCACGTTGTCAGATGTCCCACTCTCGTACCTGCTGGGGAGGGGACACAGCATCTGGACCTCGGCTGCAGAAAACCGTGCCAGCACCTTTTGAGAAGAAATAGAGTGAATGTTTTTAGTGTAACTTTTTTTAAAAACCAAGACTCCCGAGAAGCGGACTTTGAGACATGGAGACGGGCCCATGGGCCACACAGACCTGCTGGTGACGCTGTTGGGCACTTGGTCTGTCAAAGCTGCTCTGACTCTACAACCCGAGGAGAACTAAACTGGCCACTGGCCGGCAACACTGTCCAGCGGTCCTGCACAGCCCCTGCCACAGGGGACCCTGGGTCACCACTGCTCAGCCACCCCAGCTACCTGCGAACGTGCTCCTTCGTGCAGCTGTGCTGGAGCCCACCTGAGCCCAGGTGGTGTGTCTGAAGGGGAGCCCAGCAATGAGCACGGAGCACCACGCTGAACACGCGTGCTAGGAAGGACGGCAGAGCAGGTGGCGTGCGGGCGTGGTCAGGAGAGCGCTGGCAGGGGCAGTCCGAGCTCCAAGTGTGCAGAGCAGCAAGGAGCTGGTGGGCCGTGAGTGCAGCAGAAACCCTCCCAGTGAGCACGGACCCACGTCTAGCCGTGACGCTGTTTTGGTGGCAGCATGGGGACAGAACAGGAGGCCCCACACAAAGCTGGGGCCCTAGGTAGCTGCACCCTCAGCACAGGCTGAAGGAGAGCCAGTCTTCTAAGAAAGGGACAGGCAGGGCACTGTCTTGACCACACTCGCTGTCCCAGCTGCACAACTCCTGCTATGGGGACGTCTGAGTGGACGGGCCCCTGAACCGGATGCTCTCCAACCGTGGGCAGAAGAGGCGAGCAAACCACCCGGCAGCGGGCGGCTGAGTCCCGCAGAACGCGAGAGCTAGGCTCACACTTCAGGAAGCTCACAAAGAAACAAGGTATCGTTAGCCACAGGAAACACAACACACCCTAACTTTCGGGAAGGGCTAGAAAGACTCGAGGAGCATGTTCTGTGGCCTGAACCATGTAGGTGCGCGGCTCAGCAGACTGCAGGAACCATCCAGGACAGACACAGGGGCAGTTCGAAGGCAGTGTTGAGGCACCAGCTGTGCGGAGGGGCAGAGCCACATCTGAGGCAGCGTCCCCATGTGCACAAGCCTGACAGTCCCAGACAGGACGAGCCCACATCTGGGCACGCCACAGTGAAACTGCAAACTGGGGACCACAGTTTGGGGACCACGCGTCGCTTCTGCTTGGCCACTTACGGCCCCGTCAGGTGCACCCGTGCCCCCCTCCCGCTGTGAGGCTGTCCCCTCTGCTGCCTTGTGTGCCACACAGCCGCTGTCCCCTAGGTGTTTACCCAAAATGGAGGGAATCATGTCCACCAGACTTGTACCACGCGGCACAGGTGTCAGGCAGGGACAGGCCGACCCCGACACCGTGACTCAGCAACCCCACACACTGGGTGGTCCTCACAAGAGGCCGCACTGTGACCCTGAAGCCCTCTGGGTGATGGGGGCAGACACAACCAAGGAAGAGCACCCCCCACACATGGAGGCGGGTTTGTGAGGCATCTGGGCACCACTTACTGCCTCGCACGTCCCCACGGGGCTGTCCCACGTCACCTGCAGGACGGCCCCACGCCCCGGGCTGGGCTGCTGGGGGCCTGGACGTACCTGGGAGCAGCTGCCACGGGCCGTCAGCTGAAGTGCAAGAAGTCCTGGCCCTCCTGCAGGCGCAGTGACCTCAGATTGTCCTCAAATGCACCCCCTGTGAGGTCCTGTGGGAGGAACAGGAGGTCCGGCTCGATCCAGCCCACCTGGGGTTTGGGACCCACTGCTGGGGGGAGGGCAGGGGCCCGAAGGGGACAGAGGGCATCCTCTGAGGCACCCCCACAGCCTGGCTTGGCCCCTCCCTGCAACCACTGCAGGGACTCAGGGAAGCAAATGACATTTGTGGATAGTCCCTTCTGCTCGCCCTTTGTCCAGGGCAGACCCGGGGTCATCCTCGCAACTCCCAGAGCCTCCAGGAGGCCTCCGCCCCCACCCCTCTGCAGGGGCCAGAAACTTCCACTCAACAGCCAGCTGCTGCCACATCCCTTCCCTCCTCCCACTCCGTCCCTTGTCCCTGCAGGGGAGAGACAGCCATGACCCTGCAAGGAGGGTCAGGACCCAGGAGATGGGCTCATGTGACCCCTACAAGGTCCCTGAGGTGACCCCCTGGGTTAATGCAGGACTTGGGGGGGCAGGTCCCTAAATGCTTCAGCTTGGCCTGTGCAGTTGTGCTGGCTTTGGCCAGGCCCCCCAAGCCCCAGGCCAGGCCTGACGCTGCCCCCTAGCCCTCCTGCATGGGCCACGGCAGGTTTTGGGGACACAGCTGTGGGCACCCAGGCCCCTCCCTCACCTCAGCACCTGCTGCCTCGCTAGCTCAGCTCCCAAAGACGACCCACACACCAGGTGCGTCCCTGGGCGTGTCCCCTTTGGGTGTCACCCATCTGTCCTCAGGCCCGGCCTGTCCATGCACACCCTTGGGCTGGGCCATCACTCCTCTTACTGCTGTTACCGCTGGGCGGTGCTACAGGTATTTAAATGAAAACCACTACCTGGAAACATCCGAAATTCTCACATTCTGCCCTCCACTGGCTATCGGTTCTCAGCCCCCTTTTGTCGTCCCGTCATCTCTGCTACTGAGACTTCAAAGGAAACACACCTGGGCTCAGCCCAGCCTTTGGCCAGAGACGGCTGACAACGGCGGACAGCCCTGGGCTTGCTGAGGGGCCAACGGGAAGGTAGGCCTGTCCCGGACCGGGGAGGGGACGCCTTCACAAGACTCCATTACAGGTAGATGCTTCTAGAATTGACAGAGGCCACTGAGAGAATGAAAAGTCCAGACAGAAGCAACAGAGGATCAGGACCCAGAAGGTACAGGTAAGTCCTGGTTTTGCCAGGAGAAATCGGTCTCCGTGGGAACCTGCTTAGGGACATCGCAGAAGCGGAAACCACACACCTAGAGGACACAAGAGGCACACAGCTCAATACCACATATGCCTTAGAGAGCCGTGCCCCCCGACTGGGGAACTGGCTGCCACCGTCCAGTCGGTGAGCCTGTGCGGACCCGTCCTGCCCCTGGGTGTGTCCCCTGGCCTGGCCACTTCGTGGGGCATTGTCTAGTGACATGGAAGACACAGCCACACCACCACTGGCACTTCCACTCCGAGGACTAAACTCAGAGACACGCAGGCGATCGTCGACGTCTTCATAGCAAAGCCCTGGGAACCAGCACCCGAAGGCTAAGCCCGGTGACATTCACCCAGCTAAGCGCCAAAGTGCCAATCAGAATGGGCACTGCATGCCCCACCCTGGTGAGTCCCTGAGACCCCGCCCCCCAAACAGTTTGCATTCCCACGCCCACACCAATCCAGTGGCTTTTCCATACAAGCTGCCTGTCCTGCCTCATGCTACAGATTCCTAAAATCTCTCCAAGGACCACAAACCCCAAACAAGCAGCATTTGGCCTCAGTGTGTCCCATATCTCATGCTGAGCATCCCCAAGCCCGGCACTAGCGGCAGCTGGCCTCGGCTCACAGCTTGGCCTCTCCCAGGCACCTCCAAGCCCAGCACAGGTGGCCACCATCTGCAGATCACTTTGTAGCTCATACCAAGGGCCCCGGGCAGGTCACAGGTGGCAGCTGACCTTGGTTTTGGGGCCTCTTGGGAGGGGCTCTGGTGCAGTCCAGCATACCCAGAGGGAAGCTTCAGACCACACCAGAGCACCACCCAACCACCTCCACAGACAACATACCCAAAGGGCGGACGGGGCAGGCACCAGATCCCTGCTAAAGCAGACCCTGCTCGGTGGGGTCAGCCCCTGCATAGCACCTCCTCCACTGTAGTCACAGCCAGTCGGCCCAAGGGTCAATTCCTCCCATTGATGTGCAAACAGCAATCAGTTTCAACTACAACAGGAGGACACACACAACCCAAACAACAGACACCTGGGGCACCCGGCTCTGGTCACCAGGGAGACTGCACCCCTGGTTCCCACAGGACACTTACTGCATGAGGCCACTCTACTAAGACGGAGACATAGCAGCCCTACCCAATATGTAGAAACAAACACAGAAGGCTGCCAAAATGGGGAGACAGAGAAACATGTCCCAAATGAAAGAACAAAACAAAGCTCCAGAAAAAACTAAACAAAATGGAGACAAGCCATCTGCCGGACGCAGGGCTCCAGACACTGGTTATGAGGCTGCTCAATGGTCTCAGGGAGAACTTCAACAAAGAGACAAGAAACCTAAAGATAGGAAACATAAAATAGAACCAGTCAGAAATAAAGAATACAATAATGGAAATGAAGAACATACAGGGACTCAACAGATTAGATATAGAAAGGATCGAGCCATTGATTTAGAAGATAAGGTAGCAGAAAACACCCAATCAGAACAGCAAAAAGAAAAAAGAACCCCAAAAATTGAGAGTTTAAGGGGCCTCTGGGACAACGTCAAGCATAGCAACATTCACATCATGGGGAACCAGAGGGAGGAGAGAGAAAGCAAGGGCCTGAGAACATATTTGAAGAAATAATGACTGAAAGCGTCCCTAACCTGGTGAAGGAAATCGACACACAAGCCCAGGAAGTGCAGAAAGTCCCAAATAAGATGAACACAAACAGGCCCACACCTAGACACATCATAGTAAAAATGGCAAAGGTTAAAGACAATCCTAAAAAACAGCAAGAGAAAGGCAACTATTGAGTCCCCATAAGACTATCAGCTGATTTCTCAACAGAAACTTCACAGGCCAGAAGGGATAGGCACAAAACA